GTTCGTTTTTTCCATTTAAACCGGCAATCATGGTGATTAAAGAGGAAATACACGGGCTAAGCCTTACGTGGGATGAACTCCGCATCCATTTTCTCTCCTTACCGGAGTCTCGCGCACGAGAGAAAATTGTTCGATTACTCGAACCGGCAGTTCAGTAACCACGTAAATTGTATGAGAACTACACAAATGTGCGAATATCTCTTTTTCTCTCGTTATTTATATTAATATACTGTACGGACTAATTTTTTTGTATTTTTGAGAATACATATTGCACGTCATTAAAACAAATTGCACGCTCTCATTAAGAGAAAATGGTGTTAAAACACAATACACGCGTCGACACTTTTTACGTTAATTTCACACAGATCGCTCACACGATAAAATTACATAGAGTGAATATTCATGAAGACTGATATATTAACCGCTAAAATTCATGAAAAAAATAGAAAAAACGCAATTGCTCATTTTGATTTATTCGGCGGGAGGTTTCTCGGGTCTCTCAATTTGACACGAAATCTCGTTATTTTTGCGATAATCGGCAAGAGCTTCACAACCGTCGGGATCCATAAAAAAGCGAGGATAAGAAAAGGTAAAAAAAGAAAGTGACAAAAAAATGTGATTCCGAGAAAGAGAAAGAGAGAAAGGAGAGAGAGAGAGAGAAAGAGAGAGGGAGAGAGAGAGAGAAAGAAACAGAGCAATTTACGTCGTAGTCTCCGACCCTTATATAGCGCGGCGAGAGAGAAACCTCCGACACAGAGCGTCGTAAGAAAAGCGGATGCGCTTACCACAGCTTGCACACCTTTTATCGCGTACTTTATGCAAAACCTATCTATACGCGTCGTCGTCGTTCTCTTTCGCGCGGAAAGTGGATTTCCTTTCCTTTAGAGAAGATTTCCACCTTCAAAATTTACCGGGCCTCTAGACGCGCGGGTTTCCTCCGGGAGATCATGAATAATCATTCGGTAAATTCCACTATCGCGCGTCGAAATGTTCGCAAAAGAACGTGGCAGTCTGAGAAACTAAGAGATACATTTCTTCTCTTTCTCCGCTTGTGCTCACCGACAGCAAAACTTCAAACGGAATATACAAAAGCCGTAGAATGCATTATATATACGAACAAGAATTTGAATTTCGCAGCGAATTGATCAACAGGTGAATTATTAATTTACACTTTTATCAGTATCATCGCATTATCGTCCCGACGGATAGATAACAACGTTTTACAGCGTAGTATATATTAGCGTGATTCACAATGGCGTTTCGTAACGTATTCAACGGTCGATGATCCCGCGAACCAGCACGACCACAAATTTGCATGCAGTTCTTGCAAACAAATTTTTATACAAGTGCGAATTTATTCAAGGAGATGTCGTGCTTTGTCACTTTTCTTCTAGATATCGTTAACTTCTGTATAAAAAGAAAATAAATTCCCGTTCGTGTGAGATTTTACGATCTTATATAGACAAAATAAGTAAGTTTCAAAAATAAAAAAAAAGAAGGCGGAAAAAGCAAAGGGAGATTAAATTCATTGTCGTAACCAAGAGGTTCACGACTTCCACGCCTGGTGAAATTACGATTTTTTCTCTAATGAACCTATTTATAGTCGCACGTCACACGAATCTGGAGCGTATAATCGGCTGCATATATTATTTAACATTATTTATTAAAGGCGTTTTTTGTTCAAGTAAATTCTCTCAAAAATTTTTAATATCAAGAGAAAAAGTCTCCGAAAGAAAGTTAAATCATTAAGTCTGTTAAGTTAATTAATGTGTTTAGTTTAAATATTATAATTTAAGTGTTATAAAAAGTTTGAACTCACAGATTGTGTCAAAATATATTATTACAATAGCTATGTGTGTTTCACAACTGTCAGATACTAAAAATATTTTCGTTCTCATTACAAAGTAGAAAAATTGTACAATACTAAAGATCTCGACGTGTCTTTCTTTCTAGGAAATAAGACTGTCAACTGCAAGAGTTATTTATTGCAACTACTTAATATTCAACTAATTATCCTGGAGTAAGTAACTGTTAAAATTATGAAAAGGCTAAGCGCCTCGAGTGCTTTGTATTTAACAGACGCATTAGCCCGGCTAAGTAAAGAAGACCAGGCAAGAAAAAGAAAAAAGAGATAATTACCCTGTATTTCTCAGCTTGAAAATTCTTACAAAAATATCCCGATGGAAAACTTCCTGTCCGAGTCGAGATACGAGGGCGCGTGTTATATGTACGTATATATTTACTCGAATCAAAGGTGAAATTTCTGTTGGCGGATCGAGCTAATCCACTCAAATCCATCTCTTGATAAGTTTCGTAATTGAAATGGAAGGTAGAGAATCACAGGTAATACGCAAAATTCGAGAGCGAAAATTCTACTGGTAATTTCACGATTGGATAAAGAACAGCGTCGAGTACAAGTATTTTAATTAATTTCGCGCCGGAGTGGAAAAAAAAAAAACACAAGCGTGAAGAGATTCTGAACAGTATTAAACTTACATAAATATCACGAAAATTAAAGCTGTAATAAGCCATCAACTAAACACAAAAAGTGCGGCGAAAAATACGCTCTCTCTCTTTCTCGTCGAGAATAAACTTGTAATGAAAATCTCATTATCAACAAACAAGCAATTATGCAGTCATTTGAACATTTTGCTCTCTTGCGACGAATCAAAATCTTTCTCGGGATCGTTTGCTTTATGAAAATAATCGACGCGATTCCGTTGGCGTCGATTATAAGCGTAATGTACGCCCTGGTGTTTCACGCCATTTAGCGAGTATAAAACTTATCCCGCGCGGCCGAACAGAGACGCGCAAGGACATTTTTTCATCGCCGATCGCACGCACTCCTGAGAAAGTAAATGATTCGTTACGAGAAGGGCACTCGGAGGTCAATTAATCCGAGGAGGCGACCGAGCCATCGGCACGACGGGACTAATTAAGCCGAATTAAACTGGTATTTAACAGAGTCTGGATGCGCGCGCGAACGAAGCGAAGTGTCGACGAGAAAAAAGAAAAAAAAACGAGCTCGCGACAAGAATCGGCTTTGGTTGACTGACCGACGAAAGAGAAGAGAGACACCGTCGTCGTTGGGTTCTCGTTCGACGGTTTGCTGCAGCTGCAAATTGACACAGCCAGCAGTAGCGACAAACTCTGACGTCAGCTCTCCCTCATAAAAATAGGCGCGTTTCTGTCAAGACGGCTGCGCGCCTGGCATGGCTTTTAACGACTTATAGAGGGACGAGGGCCCAATTAAAACAACGCACGGCTGCGTATCGGGCCCTCGGAGAAACATCGTCGCTGATTAATTGATACAATGATGAGCAGCCACACGCTCGGCTAGCATTGAGCCACACGCGATTCTAGGAATTCGCGGCCGCGACGATAACGTGCCGCGGGGTCGATGCGCCGTCTTTTCACGACGCGATCGTTCGCAAGATAAATCGTTTAATTAACGTCCGTAAGAGAAAAACAATATGCGGCGCACGCGAACTGCATATTCGATTTTCTGACATCTCTCGAACAACAGTTTCGAACAACAAGCGTGAAAAATAATTATTGCAAATTGTTCAACTTTTTTACTTCGCGATTCTGCATACGTATTTTTATGCGTATCCGTCAACGCGAATTTTATTACTGTATCTTTTTTTTTTTTCATTTTTTATTACCACACTCTCTTGTCTCGCGCGTATGTCTCATAAATTATAAATACTTTTAAAACTGTATTATATATAGACAAGGTCGCGCGTGTTTTTTGCGATAAAAGATTCTGTTTTTCTTACTTCTTGTTGTCATTAAAACAACATGTGTGTGCGTGTGTGTGTGTGTTTCTTTCTATTTATAATATTAGAAGAAGAAAAATGCAGAAAAATCCTTAAATTTCAGTTGCTCGCCACGGACAAACGAATAGATTAATTATACCGTTGCACACACACGTCAATCTAATTCCTTTCTATGGCAATAGAAAATAGGAAAACATGTAATCGTCGTGACTGTTAGGAGTGCTTTTTGCGTTCTTTCTTTTTTTTCTCTATCGACAATTTCTCTATTTCAATAACCGCAAGCATCGAATGCATCTTCTCCGAACAAAGAGCTGTCTGTCAACAAATAAAACAGCGATGCTTTTTTGGAAACTTGTCAATGATACGCGCACGTGCACGACGCGAACTTAACCGCATATTTCACATCTTCGAAGCTCGACGACGCGCTTCAGAGAGTTTGCAATAAATAATATAAAATCGCTCTATGCATCACACGTGGTGGGTAGCCACCTGGGAAAATGCATTTAGCGACTTCTCTCGGAGTTTCGTGGCAACCCAAGCATTACTTGAGAGCGCGACTAACTTTACAGATCACTTTTCCTGATGTATGGGCCTCCCGACTTTCCGCGTGATACACTGCACTTTATGATCGTGCGCTCGTGTTTCCCCGTCAGCTCAATTATTATTCGACTGACTCTCTTACGTTCCACTTTATCTTGGAATTTATAACCTCCCCGATGAACTCTCGAGCGTTTTACGATTAAGTAAAAACGACCATAATAAAAAAAAAAAAAAAAAAAAAAAACGATTTAACTAATTGATTTAAAAGTGCAGCCCGATGAACGTAATCGAGAATGCCGGCGCGAGTTTCAGAGAAAAGTTAGCTTTTTTTGCAATAAGTTACTTCCTGAAATATTACGATGCACAAATTAGCGTAAACTCTTACGAGCCATTACATCGAATCTCAATTATCGGATTACTCGACTTTCAAAATATTTCATACTGAATCCTTTCGAATGAACACTCGTAGCGCATAAACTCTATTTCACAAAGCGCTTAAACCGTAATAAAAGTTGAACATAAAATTGCGTGTATGCAATATGCTGGACCGGTATTACTCTAGTGTTACCGCCGTGTTCCTTTCTCGATTACGTCGCGGGCAGCGCGACATAAAAGTTAAGTGAATGAAAGCAGGAAACCGGGAAAGCAAAATATGAAAAATGCACAAACGCATCACACGACCTGCCGTCTGGTTGATGTAAAACTCGAAGGCGGCTAGAGGCCCGTAAGTGCTGGAGCAGTGCGAGTCGCGATGGTCCACCTTGATGTGCCATCCGGGTAGCGGTCCCTTGGGCGAACTGACGTATCTCACCGCCAATAGCACCGCCGGAAGTACCCTCGGCAAACTCTGTTCGTGATGAGGATCGCCTGGCGCGATCACCGCCAGTCTCACTTCGTTCTTAAACTGCGACGTACGCGTAACACCGACGCATTCCCTCGGGCTGACGGCGGGGGTGACCGGTACCGTCGTCTTCGTCGTTGTCGTCGTCGTTGTCGTAGTCGTTACAATCGCGCCAATATCCGCGCAATGACCCGCGCACAAACCCGACAATACCAACATTAGTCGCACCAAAACATCACACGCGCACCGCTTTCTTGTCCGCGACGCCATCGCGCCACGGGCGCACGTTATATCTCACCGCCGTTTTATCTTCCGCCGGAACTCTATCCGTGTAATTATTATACGTTCCGGCGCATTTTCCGGATTGCGGTCGGTCGCGCAAGTGGAAACGCGAGAGTCACTCGCGCTATTTTCCACATTCTAGTTTTGTCTCTTTGACATCACTTCGAACGTTCCGCGAGTATATTTCACGCTTACATTGTTACGTTTCACATATTAGCGCGCGTAGTAATATGATCTTTCTTGTTAACTTAACATGGGGTAACAAGCGAGTAACAAGCGAGAATGTAAAATGTTTGGGGGTTTAATATCTTCAAACTCGTTATTTAGTTTTTATCAAATGTTACAACACTGCGGAAAAAAATAATATTATTCTTTTTCCTCGCACTCACACGAAAGGGGAGCGAAAGATACACAGATGGCTCTCCGCTATTTTGACAGACGCGTAATATTATTGCCTATCGTTTCTCATTTTCACGATGTATATACCGACACGCGCCGTCGTCTTTAATGACTTTGTCAGAAAATAGTCTTGTACATAATTTTGCGTCCTCGTCTGAATGCGAGATACCGGTCTTCGTCAGAACGGTTCGTTAGAAGGTTCAAAGTGTTCCAATTTAACTTCGACGCAACGATAATCATTAGAAGTCCCGAACATCATGACTTCACTAATTAAGGATCGCACTCTCCGAAGATGTTGGTTGCAAGAGGCATCCGAAATTACAAATTAAGAGATTTGCCTCGAACAGCTTCGTTACCGCACACATAATTCTATAATATAATATTTATGTTACACATTGCATCGTGTCTCTCTTTGACATTTGTTTGCAATATTGTTATTTAATTTACACTTGAAATATAATTTACGAATGGTTTACATTGTCTCAGGACATTTCTCAAAACACACGAACGAAATTTCCTTACTGTTGACATAACGAATCGCCGTCACGTTCTTAACGTTTCTCCGATGTTTTGTGATATGACATGTTCGAATTTCTCATAATGAAAGAGAAGTGCAAAATCATGTTTTGTCTTGCTAACAAAAACATGTAGCTTGAAAGCTCTTCTGCAACCGACAAATTTGATTTGATCTCACTAAAACATATTTTTTGCATATTTATTATAAAAAAAAATATATATAAACGTTATACTCTGTTATATATTACTGTTATAATTAAATTACAATAATTTAGTTTTTTGGAGAACAGAACATGTTTTTCATGTGTTTAAATCGATTAATATCCGGAGCAAGGAAAAAATGCATTTGTACAAAGAAAGCTTTTTTATAATTAATTTGGAAAAAGTTTCACATTTTCCTGCACAAATTGAATTTTCAAAAACTTTTAAAAATATGTACAGTGTGTGCGTGCGCGTGAATATATAAAAAGTTAAATAGTCACTAAAGTAAAATTAGTAATAATAACGTTTCATACGTTTATATAGTGAACTTCTCTATATATCTATATTTAATGTAGTTTCAATTATTTTTATTAAACATTAATTCTTCACATAATGTCAACTTGCAATAAATAATGCAATCAAAATAACTTTTACACGCAATGACTCGCAATTAATCGAGATGTACGTGTGTTTTATCAAAGAGAGAGAGAGAGAGAGATTGTTGCAATCCAATCAACGCTGCGTAAGATGAGATTTTGTTTTTTTTCTTTTTTTGTTTATTGAACGAGGCACAAAAACAAGATACTTGTGTGAACGTCTCTGAACGATTACAAACCTTTCACTCTGCGGAAAAGTAATGAGGATACGAGTGGTGAAAGACGCCATCTATGTGGCATCTTTCTCGTACCCCGCTTTTCTCGATTTCCGCGCTAGGCTTTCGGCGCGCGTGCAAAAAGGAGAGATCTGCAAAATGGAACGCACCCTTTGAATTAGGGATGGAAGAATGTTATTACACGAGACAGCACGAGTCGAGTGAAGAGGACGTACGTGACCGTGCACGTCAAAGTGTCTTCGAGTACGCGACAGACTCACATCATGTAACTTTTAACTTACAGCTGCTATGGCAAAACGTAATCTAACTTTACCGTCAATGTTTTATAAAACGTATCAAGGATAATACGTGATTTGTATTTAAATTATTATGCTTCCTCTTTTTTTTATTTTTTTTGTTACAAAAAGCGTTTTCCTTTTTTTTCGATAGTTATTCTACGTACTTGTACATTTTTTAAAACATATTTTTTTTCAAATTAATAAAAAGATTGATTATTAGTGGATTAACAAAACTATAACGCTGTTTTTGTTAATATAAGAGAGAGAGAGTTGTCATTCTCTGACGTATAATAGTTAAACTTTACATATTAATATATTTTATATTTACGATATACAATATCAAAAACAGAAACAAAATTTAAATTAAATTTTCTCAAATGTTTTATAAACTTTTCCAATAATTTAGTTATTGAAATCACATGTGTCATTTATATATATGCAGATTAAAACGTAAAATCCTTGCCAACATAGCCACATAATAAAGACGTATATTTATATTTTACATAAATTCACGAAATAAAATATTCATTTCTTTATTAATAATTGAGTTCACTATTTCTGTATTTGATCAATGTATGCGTATTTTACGTATCAATCTTGTATGTTGAAAAGATACGCTAACATTCAAGAGATTTTGAATGACATTGATAACGGTGATGTGGACCAGTGATACGTGAGAAATTAGTGTAGCTATCTAGCCTTTGGATGTTTAGTGAGCTTTCACGCTCATTCACTTTGTTACACGAGACGGCATTGATCGATCTCTGAACGGACATAGAGAGCGAGACGATTTTCGGTCTATTGTGTTCTCGCTTCGCGATCAACGATAAGGCACGTGAAAATGACGCTCACAGTGGGTTCCTAATACGAACCGATAATGATTTCATTTACGTGTTAGTCGTTCGTCGGAGTGAGAATTAATTGTGGCGCACAAAAACCCGAATTCGACCCAGATTTCTCCGTCAAAGCGGATATCGTCGAGTAATCCAAAGCAATTTCTCTCTAAATCTCACTGTTATAAGAGTAGCATCAAAATTGAATAACTTCGCATTGATAAACATTGATCTTGAAGCAATATGTAAAGTGTATCGTCTATGAAATATGCAAAGTGTATCAAATATTTACATATTTGCATATTTCATAAAAGGTTTGCGAAAGAAATACAAGATAACTCGGATACAGTACAAGATACAAGATACAAGAAATACAAGATACGAGATTTACGTGTCGAGAACATCCTCCGCACAATTTGCCACTCATTTTTTTTATCAATTAGATATCGTTTATTTTATGTGAATTAATTTTATTACATTATAAAACGATTATTTTTAAATCCTTGGAAACATTTTCAAAACAACACATAATTAATCAATAAAAATAATCGTTTCAACAGAATCTCACCTTACTAAATTTGGTTATATTTATAATAACTAACGTTTATGCTTTAATTCTCTCTGAGATGAAGTTTAATACTCAAAAAGAAGATACAAGAGATAAATAAATCTAATAAGTTTAACAAGAATTAATTAAAACAAGCATAATAATATTTTATATCGAATATCAATCCTATTAAAAATTCATCAAAAGAGAAATAGGAGCGGCTACGCTTAATGCAAATTATTTATAAAAAGAATTATACATAAAAGGACGATACTGCAACAAGTGGCACAACTCGGCGAGCTCTATCGAATTCTCTCGGTTCTCTGAAACGTCTTCGATATTCATGAAACGTTTTTTAAAGTAAAAACCCTTGCGTACATTAGAAAGAGATTTATAATTATAAGTTATGACGTATCTCTGCCTGCAGGAGTAATTTTTTTAGAAAGAGATAGAAAAACGGTCTGTTGGAAGATAACTCGGATACAGTACAAGAAAAAGTGAGCAAGTCAGATCTAACGAGAAAAGAGACGAGCTCTTTTGCAAAGAGCACGAGAACCGATAGTAAACAGAAAAAGAGGCGGCAAATATAGAGCACTTGAAAAAAAACTAAATTCTTTATATTCTGTTCACTCAAAAGTTTTGATCTGGTAACGAAAATAAAGTTTTTTAATAATGAGAGAGAGAGAAAGAGATAAACATAATTGTCACTTTTCAGCAAAATCGTTATCTTCTATCAAATATAAATGTTCAACAATTGAAAGTCAAAACTCATTACAATAATTATGATTTGATACAACGATAGGTCTTTGCTTTCAATACGCTCAAACGAGATTTCTATGCACTCTACACGTGATCGCGTAATACTAAATATTATTGCATTATTGCAAATACGCATCAGCCTATTTTGTTAATAATTGCCTCATACGTGTGTTGGTTAATTGATGTACGCATCAAACGAGCAATATGTAATTCAAATAATCATTTATCTCGTATTCGCGTTCAAAATCACTAGACGTATTAAAATCAATTCTATTTGCACACACTTTTGCGATATAAATATAACAATCCAATTATAAGATGAAAATGAAAGAAGAAAACAGAATTTATATGATAATTATGCGCGCAATATTGCTTTCTGATTGAAATTACTGCCGCGATTATTTATGGATTCGTATTAAATTTGCGATAGCGTATTTTTAGATTGTTTTCGCAGATTTATTTCAGAAATGTGACAGTTTTCACGCGGCGGCGCGACGTTGTACGTATACCTACATATATATTTGCGATTTTCTTCGTCAAGTGAACATTCTCATTCGCGATTACCGATGCAAACTGTCGGGATTTCGCGCCAAAGTTCACTCTAAGAGAGAACGGCGGGATCATCGGAAATTCGCAAACGGGTGAGTTAATTAGCAGCTGCCGGGCAATGCGTCGTTTAATTAAATCATGGTTGACGGGACTTATTAAAGACCACCGCGCCGGAACTCACATCGTTCCTATACGGATGCAATCAACCGAGTAAATATATTACGATCATTGTGTGGATTCGACCGATAACGCAGGGAAACGCTCGCCTGCTGTTTTCTATGAATAAATTTAATCAAACCATCGTCGTCTGGCGTTCAATTAAACACGTGGAACAATACGCAAATCGTAATGAATCGGCAATGCTTCGATTCGGGCGATGTGAAATCACGAGATAGCGCGATGGTGTTTGAAGATAGCTATTCAGGTGCCTGTAAAGCGTCCGCTTTATATATTTGCTCGCGTGAACTTTATCCTCCACATTCGGCGAACATATCGAATGCGCAGATCGTCGAAAGCTTTGTGCACATTCTCCGAATGAGAATACTCTCTACACCTAAGTGTTCACTCTCGGAATCTGCATTGTTAACACTTCAAAAGGAGCAACGCACATCGAATAAATGCACACGTTGCGTGCACGCATAGTTTCGAATTTCGAAACTGCTTCTGTTGCTTGCTTTTGTTTTATTTTACAAACATCGTCAATTTACTTCGCGTCAATATTTGACGACTACGTCTTCAGAATAAACTCATTAATCAGAAACGGTAGAGCGCGGTACGTAGTGATAACAGAATATCTTGCGTTTGAAGTTCTCTCACACGATTGTACGATATACAACGAGCAATTTGTATTATAACGTTAACTTGTATTAATTTTTTCATTTAAAATCACTTACTTTTTGTTTTAGCGATTTATTCGCGTAACTATAATTCGTGAACCGATCACTTAGTGACACTTTACAGCGCATATCATATAAATAATATTACCATATAAATAATATTAGGTACATTTTGAAGCCACTCTCTCCGTAGGGAGAGATGGGAGTACATATTATAGAGCCGCGATGTGCATTTGATCCGCTCCGGCCACTAAAAGCGTCATGCATGTTTTTGCATTTTAATGCATCCCTTATAATGCGTATTTATAGAAAAGATATTGCCCATAAACTACAGACGGTGCGTTTCAAAGAGAACTGAATAAGCACGATAAAAAAAAAACACTCTCTAAAAATCACTCAAAAATGATTCATTTCACTCGAGGTACGCAAAGCCGAAAAGAGAATTCACGCGATCATGTGTCTTCATCGTGTGTGTCGTATTTCTCGTGTCTCATATATTTGTCGCGCTCGGACCTCGACAACTCCTGTGCTTTTGCGGGATTCCTCTCGCAAAACTTTTGTCGTCGCGCAACTCGGCACATCGCATATGATGACTGTGAGCAAGATATCTAATGTCACGAAGCAAACTTGAGAAATTCTCGAAAGGAGACGCTATGTGACTTCGAAAGAAGAAAAAGTTGTCACTTTTTGTTGTCGTTGCATTCTCGTTTTCTCTATCGAGACATATGATTGCAAAGTTTCCTAGTTTTTTCTCGCGAATACACAGGTGTACATGTTTTATAAAGAACGTACATCAAAAACGTGTACACAAAACGTGTCGCACATTTTTTGTTTTTGGATCATACGTTACTTCTCGTTCTTTATTACGTTACAGTTTTTCTATTGTGATAAAATTCAATTCCCCGTAGATAAACTTTAAATTCAAGTAAAACACGCGCGCGCGGATTCTCCGGAAGTATCCTGTATCATACTGTCTCGGACATAACCAAAACCCGTGGTTCGTATACCACACCATTATTTAACAAAACCGGGACACGTAAACAAGCTAGCTACGCTAATTAAAGTTATTTTAGTCCTTTTAAGAAGATATACAAAATATTTTCTACAGACTTTGCGGTTTTTTTTTTTTGTTTTTTTAATTGAAAATACACAGAGATAATAAGGTGAAACGAATATTTTTTTCCTCGCTCATGGCTCCGCGTCCCATCTAATTCAACGGCAGACATTTCCACTTGTGTTCTTCCCGTTTGTGTCAAGTGCACAAAAGTGTATTACGAGTCTGCCTTCGCGTCGTTTTCGTAGCTCGTGTGTATGTATGTGTGTACACATTCGTATTCAGTGCGATTTCTCGTTTCAAGGGTACACGTACCCTTCGAACGAGAAATCGCACCACAACGGCGTTTACACATATCCGTATTTTACGTACAATGCGAGACGAATGCAATCCGAGGTTTTCTTGAATAACTTCGGTCGTTCGACTGCATTGCCACGAGACGGCGAATAACGAGATGGGTGTCACACCGTGACATTTTGCCATTCTCGTTTTTCCGATCCGCAACTTGAAAGCGTACAAGCGCGGAATTACGAAAAAAAAAGACGAGCGTCGGCTGCGCAAAAAATGCTTCTCTTGATTAAAGGGATGTTTTTGTGTTTTTCTGTTTACCGCAATTTTATCCTCGGCACCGCGCAGCATCTTACGGTTTTAAACGTGAAACTGAATTCAATTATAATTACATTGCGTCGAATTGCGCTCGCTGCGTCGGCCGGCGGCGCGAGTCTCGCTCGAGTTTCACGGTCAATTTTGTACAGCGCGCGCGCATGAGATTCCTGAACGGTTTGCAGGACGCGTTTATAACGAGATTTACTGTATGTACATAATAGAGATAAGAAAGGAGAATCCGTAGAATTTCGCGCTAATAAGCTTGATTTGCTTAGGATTTGAACGCAAGGTCGGAAAATACGATGTTATATCGCCGACAATTTAATCGCGTTGTCTCAAGGCCTGACGAAGGTGCTGATTTTATTGATTCGATTGCCGACGAATCTACTTTTTTTCTTTTTTAAATGACTGAAAAACATCCCGAATGCATTCACAACGCGCAATCACATTTGAGTCACAGAGAAAGCAGACTAACTCTCCTTGCAGAATATCAAATGGCTAAACTTCATAGCTTTTATGGCGTCGTTTCGTTGCGAGATTACAACGCGCGGCTAAAAACTACCATCAATGTCGGCGGACCCGTCGTCGGAGATTATTCTATTGTGATTGAGAGAAAAAGATATTTTATTCCGCAAAAAAAAAAGTAAATAAGAGCGACGTTTTATCTAAGCGACATTTAAAGTAATTCGAAAACTCAATCTTTATTGGTTATTGATTAAAATATTTGTATTAGATAAAAAAGTTATTTCAGCACTGATTTTTTATCGGTGTGCATCTTTGATATTCGCGCGAAGCGCTGTTGAAATATCAGAGCTTCCTTATTATGCAATATGTTGGTTACGTATGAAAGTCACGAACTGATCCTTTCGCGAAAGAAGAGAGTCAGACCGAACCATTCCGAAGCTTTCATGCTGCGTGTGTGATAAAAAGATTTATATAAAATTCGCATAATGAATAAAACTGCAACGCATCAGCCGAACGCGCGTTACATCGTAGAGAAGTCGTTTCGCTCTTCATCTTACGATAACGAGAAAAAAGAAGGTATTTCTTAACATAAAGAGCAAAGTACAGTATGTGTACACGAATGTATTTGTTTTTCGCCGCCGATATTAGCCAGCGTCAAAGCAAAAAGCGACGGTCGTGAGAATTTATTGCCACAGCAGCTGTTTTCTCGTACAAGTTCCGCGCGGGAAGAACTATATTCGCGCGCGACATTTTACGACTCGCGTCGCGCGTACGATCACTATTCACGCGGCAAAGAAAAAAATAGGAGAGAACCGTTTTGCACGATCGCGCGATTTCAAACATTCGTTTAATAACACGTGAAAATCGATAAAGATAACACGCGGAAGCGATGGCAGACCGAATGGAAGTGATGAGCCCGATCGCGAGCTTTCTTTGCGAAATGCGCTCTCCAAGATGATAAATACGTTTCTAGTATCGCGCCGTTAACATTTTCCAGAAATCTTTAAATGTGGTTTTAGAATCTTTCGCGCGAGCTGTGATAATAATCGAAGAGTTCAAAAACAAATAAAGAGAGAAGAAAAATCAAGTCGGTATTTTTTTACTCGCACTTCCTGTGTAAAAATTCTGCGCAATCAAAAACGAAACTTGAAATAAATCAAACAAATAAAATAAACCTTATTTGTCAATTATAATAGTTTATAAGATACACTTTACACTTTTTGCAAATAAGAATTTCAACATTTTGTCATAATTGGTACCATCAATTTTTGAAGCTCGTTATTTGAAAGCAAACAGTCGAGTCACATAGAAATCGGTTTCGAACTTTTCGCATAAACGGAAAAGCATCTTGAAAGCCCGGCGGAGTACCGTCACGTGTTTTCCAGTCGAAGAGAACCGGTAGAGAGACAGCACACGCACGACCGAACATTACGAGATATCATTGCGCTTTTTATCTCAGACAGAGAAAAACGTCCGCACGGATCTTACCAAAGTGACCTCTCAATTTTTTTTTCTTTTCTTTAACAGCAAAATACATACACGTACCGAATCATATTGTTCACTATCGTAACATATCGCTAAAAATCACGCATCTGTGCGACGTTCTCCGACGGTTTTTTCAACAACAAATCAACTTCTTCACTAGATCTAACTACACCAACGAACACGAATAATCCGATCATCGTTTTTTCATACAATCGCATCACGAAACACGTGTTGTGCGCGTCGATGTCACTCGGAGGTGATCTCGGATCGGTAACAGCGTCGCGATCAAGATCGATTTTCCGGCCGATCGCGATTCTTTCGCTCTGCTTATTTATCGAAGCGGCTGAAAATTACGTGCAGTTCATTAAAAACATAGTGTTGCTCTTTAGATATAAATTTTTTGTAGATCGATCGCGACGCAATCGTTTCGATCATCGATCCCCCGCGACTCTCTGATTTGCGCTCTCCTGGAGCAAGCTCGGAGCGCACGATTCAAACTGAGAGCGAGCTGAAGGAAAGCGCCGGTGCTCCGGATCGCCCACCGAAGTCGACGATCGCTCCTCCTCTTCCTCTCCATCCTCATCTCTTCTCCTCTCTCGCGGTCTCACCCCGTCTCTCTCTCCCGTCGTCTCGGCACTCTCTCTTTTTCTCTCTTCGATCTCTCGCCGCCCCTCCGCACTTTTCCCTCCTTATCTATCTTCTGATCTGTCGATCTCTCTATCCTTGCCTTGCCTCTTTATCGCACCCCCACATAGCGCGATCCGCTCGTTCTATGCGGGCGCAAGTCCCGCCACTCGGTTTATCGTGTAGTAGGTGGATGTCGGTGCGCGCCTCCACCGAGGTAGACAGCGTGAGAGCGAGACGCATGCGTCGATACCCTCGTGTAACCCTCTCCGTGCACACCACACCTTTCATTTCGCACGGAATCGCCGCGAGCTACGGAGTGTTTATTAGAGTTGATATTAAAGCCTATATATCTTGGATTATCTCTGTTTTCAAAGTATTTATGCATAATATCTGATACGCTGACCCAAAACACGCGAAAAAAATCATTTGAGAAGAAAATCCTTAATATTCGAGTTTTCGTGCCACTCGTGTATTTAATGAAATATTTATAATAAACGTCATATAACATTTCCTCATGTAAAACAAAATTTCCTCATGTGAACAAAATCTAAATAATTTGTGAGTAAATTTTACTTGAAAGAGATTGTGTAAAATGCTTATTTGCTGAGACAAAGTTTGAAAAAGGGTTGGTAGAAACAAAAATATAAAATATTTACATAGATTATAATCTATTTATACTGATATAGTATAATATCTATATATAGAAATAACTATCAAGGCTTTGATTTTCTTGATAAAAACAGAAATTGTATCTTTAAAAAACGTGAATTTATTGCTTGAACTAGTTGCAAAAAATTAAAAACTGCTAATAAGAAAGTGCTAATCTCAGCTAGAATATAATATGGGACGATGTTGCGCTATCGCGCGCTTTTATCGATAACACATCACTGTACTTGCGTGCAAATATTAGCAAAAAAAAAAATAGATTTCACAGTATCTGAAATCATGTTACGTGACAATAACCGAGTGAAAATTATCAATAAATCGAAGATTGCTATCGTCAAACATTTATGTATCCTAAATCTACTTTCTATTACGTACTAATCACTTTCTGTTTCTGTTATGTTTATGTCATTTAATTAATTACCGTTAATCTATATTTCTTCATATGCAAAAGAATTATATATATTTAAATATTATAGAAAAAATTTAACTTTTTTTATTGTACAGATTTTTTCGCAAGATTGTCATGAGTTTTGAGTGCGTGTTCTCTGTGTGCGCGTTTCTCTCCGTTCTGCCGAGATTGATCGTCTTAGTCTTGAAAAAGTGAAAGAACTGTTCGAACATGTCATTTGCGCAAGAGCAGTTTGAGTAGTTTCCTCTACCATCGTTCAAAATAACTTTCTAATTGAACTAAAAGACTGTCAATGTGAAAATATATTGGTAACTAAAGTATAGCTAAGTTTTGAAGTATTTTTGTTTCTTCATAACGTTTGCGTCATGAACAAAAACTTTCAAGACATTGAAAGTCTGTTGCAGACGTTAAATACTTTTCTTCAAACTCTTTGCTATATGTACAAATCTTTTACTTTTATGACAAGTTAGAATAGCTGAAAAACATTCATTAATGTTCTTATCAAGGATGTAACTTTCGATGGTGCTTGTTTACTAATTTTGATAAATCTTACACTCGTATATCGTCGCAGATATCATTAAATTATAATTTTCACGTGATGCGTAAAAAAAATTGTCGCCTGTACGTACATCTTTTACTGTATGTTTTAATGATATATGCATTATCAGCGAAATATTTTATGTATAATTTATCGACGACGATTCGGTAATAATAAATATCTGCTCGTTTGCATGAAGATGACATACGAGCAAGAGTGATAAGAATATATGTCACTTTAAAGTTGTTCTTTATCGTCTCCCAAACTTATTCTCTTATTTTTCAGAACAAGATATTTTTTTTCACAACACAATAACGTAAAACGAGACAGATATTGCCGAACTTTAAGACAAATTACCTGAGGTGTTATTTTCCACAATGTTATCTCTAAACTATTCAAAAGACGATGCAAAGATACTTAAAATGTTAAAAGTAAGCATCTAAACGATTGTTTAAGAATTGTTTCTGCGTGCCAATTAATAAAATAATTTATAATAAAAGTCTTACACTCATTTAATATTTCACATCGACACCTGTACGTTCAATGTTTTATTTATTTGTCTGAGTTTTTCAATAATATTTTATTTATATACTTTTTGTTTGTTTTTTTTTTTTTGCAAAATACTATACCGACAATTTTTACCGACGTAAGATCTTCTTCACGAATTTTGAGTAGCAAGAACGATACTTTCGACGGTCGATAAAATATTCTGATACTCGCGAAATATTGATTAATTATTAATCAATATCGTGTTCAAGTGTGTCAAATATAAACCTTTCTAAATACTTCGTTCCAAAAAATGTGTTTTACTGATATTTTTATTTTAATTGTTAATCGTGCATAGAACATGCACACACGCAATTATTTATCGGAAGTTATTTTTACGCAGTTTTATACATTTTGCAATTTGTTTGTTGTATACACCCTAGGTGTACACAACGCAACGTATCATGTGCGCGATGTATCATCTCTGAGAAGTTTATCTTCAAACGCAGAAACAAGTATCTGAGCCAAAATCCTTGTAACACTTTGAATAGATGTCGATAATATCTTGTTCTAAGTTCACCTAAAGAAATGTTTAAATATAGACATAATGACGTGTAGGCAGTGTGAGAAGATATCAATAATAGAAATGTCCAAGCATGATAACGTTACGCGATAACGTGCAAAATGATATGATAAGGAAACGGTTCAGCTAATGATTAAAAAGAATTAAACAAAAAATTACGCAAATACTTTCTTATCCGCGCTGAAGAGATATTTTTAACAAGCAATACAACGTTATTGACAGATTAATTTTTGTTCTTCCTACTTGAAGAAATATAAAGTTTTGTATTTGGTATTCCGTTTATATGCAATTTTGTGATCAAATATTATTGTCCATCAAATTATAATAATAATATATTACAACATATTTACTAGTAATTTTACAAAATTAATTAATTTCCGTCTGCGCGAACAAGCAATTTTACTTTTGCTAAATGTATATAATATGTATTTTCGCAAGATTTATATCGCTATTACGTCTGGAATTAAGAGAAGAATGATCGCGTTCCCGAAAACGACGGAGATTATAACTCTATAGTGGAACTCTCGAGATGATTAATGTACTAGACAGATTGCCTTACCTTTCAAATATCACTTGATGTGTATTGATTATAGTCGAATTTATAGTTTAAAGAGAAACAAGTTAAGCAATTAGTATATACGTGTGATATAAAAAATTATAGGTATAATAATTTCCTATATATAATATATATGACATAAAAACTTCAAACATTCTGCCATTAAAAATAATTCTCTTTTGTCATAAATAAGATATAACGATATCGAGAGTCGTGTTAATTTTGTACATATCAAAATACGAACAAATTGGAATATTGAATCAATCAATTATTGAATCTCGTAATTGATAATTTTTTACACATCAGATGATATCCGCGTATTAAATCTTCGTGTCTGATGATGTTTGCATATTAATCGCACATGTGCGATTTGTGATCATACGCGTTTTGTTACTTAATTTTAATAAAATAACGACAGTTATATTTAAATATTTGTTTACAGCACTTGGAGCGTCGTTGTCTACGGCGCGATCAGTTAAAAGAAAAGTACGCGATAAATATGAATAAACACACACGAGAAGAGAAAACGATGATTAATATCTCCTTAATCTGAATTCGATAGTGCGATATGTTTTGTAAGAGGAAGAACGGCTTTGATATCGCGCGATAATTATATTGATGTATGAATGTATATACATATATCGCGCGATCGCTAATTAACTCTTGAACAATTCTTAAATATCTTGATGTTAAGAGACTTTTGAATATTTTAATTTTCTAAATAAAATTATTTTATTTGCACACATTGTGGAGTGACACGCGCGGTTTATCTCGTTCTAAATCATCTTCTTGCTGTATTTCGAAAAAATAAAGCGCACATAGAGTTCTCGATTTAAATAATAAGACACAAGATAATAAAAGCAACGACTCACCGCTGTAGAAATTGCCAACGTGATCTCTCAAAGCCTCGGGATAATCCTTGGGAGTTGTAGCTTCGACGTCGAAAGTACCGTAGGTAATGTTATGCTCTTTTTTGATGAATTCCACTATTGATTTCATCATGAGTTGACACGTGTGTCTTCCAGCAACTTGACTCTGTCCGTTCGTCGCGTAAAACAGATGCACCTTACGCCACTTGTAACTAACGTAGAGATTAAATAAAAATAAAACATATTGCACACAAGTATAAACAGTAATGTATGTATTGTGTAAAAGTTTACTTTCACATACCGATCTATTATGGATATAAAGAATTTTGCGATGTCCCTAAAGGCTACATTTCCGATTCTTGTGGTCATGAAATATTCGTCTTTACATTCGACCTTCTTCTCGGTAAAGTCAAAAGTAAAGCCTCCTGTGGTTATTAGCGGGGCTCCGAAAAATTTTACCACTCTACCGACGACCGCTATAAAAAGCACGCGCGATGAATTAATGATTGAGACAATGCCGAAGAGAAAAATATTCTTACTATGCGTAATAAAAAAATTATAAAAAAAAGCAACATACCAACGCAATAATCACATGCCGGCCCGAGGAACAAGTGCACGCAATGAGAATAACTGTCAATCGCGCCAGTTTGCGCGTACATTGCGTCGCAATGGTCGTCTTGCGCTAGAAACTTCAATTTCAACCAATAGGGCAATAAATTTCGCGATCTCGCTTCATATACCGCTAAATCTGTACAAGGGGAAAGAAACATTTCCTGCAATCTCTTTGGTTATATTTTTTTCTGATTTTATTCTTTTGTTTCGAAACTTCTTAAAAGAGTCTTCCTCTTAATTTTGTTTATTGTTTAAATAAAGTATTCCTGTATACGTAGAAAAAATTTATAACATTTGCATTTATAAAAAAAATATATATATATATTTTATAGATTGAAGCTTTTTTGCTATTTTAATCAAGTAAGATAACGTTGTAATTATTCACATTACTAAAACAATTTAAAAACAGAACTTTACGCTTATATCTTATTTTTTAAAAATCAACATTTAAAATCATGAAGAGCGTTTACACGAGACTCTTTGATTTTCTGTTTGTTAATGCGTCTCTTCTTACCGAGTACCGGAAGAACCTTAGGTAAGGAAATATCGAATCTCGGATCTGCCGCGAGTAACACAGCGACTCTCAGCTCGCAAGAAACAACACCGTCGCGACTGGTGGTGCACAAAGTCTCGCAGTCGCGATGCAGCTGCACTTCGCGGCACGTCATTTTGCCTTCCGTCCGATGTGTCATCAGCCATAAGATTGTCAGCAAGACAATCCTACAGTATTCCATGAGTACAAATGAGAAGACGGCGCGGTGGCTCGCGAATCAAAACGGGCCCTTTGCGAATTCAAATCGACAGCTGCGATACACCATCACGTTTACTGACGTCACATGCAATATCACTGCCACGATCATCCGATAAGTATCTTGTTCATCGCGACAAAATCCGTTAAGTACACGAATCTTGATTCATAAACTTATCCGTCGCTATGCTCCAGAGTTTTGCAATTCATTCATACTTGTGCACTATCGAGTTTTCACGGTCCATCCGAGCTGTATCATAATCACTTTTTTGTTTTATTCACAGACACCCCGTGAAAGAATTATTCTTCTAATTTTCTCTGATGAAGTAGTGCACAAAATGAGTTATTTCATGAGTTATTTCGCACATGTAATTATTTTCATTGTAATAAAATTCTAAAAACAAAGTGTGTGAACGCGTTATTTCTCACTAATATGTTCGATCACAGAAAAATAACCATGTTAATTTTATAACGTGTTTCCGATAGAACTCGAAAATTAAAAAAATAAATCTCTAATATTCTCCATTTGAATAAGTAAACAGTTAATTTTACCAAGTAATTTGGTAATTTACCAAAAGTATTTTTCCGTTAATCCTGACTTGTTGCAGATGTTAAAGAGTGTTATGTAGCACCACACAACTACTAATTCATATATTATCTATCACTTTAAACGAGGAATTTTTGTATTACTACTTTATACCTCCGTAATGTACAACAGATAAAATTATTAGAGGAAAATTATCAGAAACTGTTGTCACTATAATTACAAGTTTACACTAGCGTAGCGCATTAGTGGAACTGTTCCGCTCGTCATATCGCTCAAGATTTTTAAAGCGGATATCGTGCGGCATCTCTTCAAGCACTCAGAGAATCTATACGCGCAATCATGATTGTTGAAGAAAACTTGATTGACTATAGAAAAGCTGCGACTCGATTAGAGTCTTTGCTAAAAATTTAAAATTAAACATCGATCGACAATAATCTTTTTACCGTCGGTTTGCAAAACACGCGCGCGCACAGACGCTGAAAGTGTCTTTTTTTTTTTACGCGTCATATATTTTTGGCACAAACCTTATTAAAAGAATAGTATCGATCAGGGCCAGCCGCGCCCCTTAATTTAGAAAATACATACATGTGCAAGCAAAGCTATAAGAAGTGATCGAGAGAAAATGCGGGTTTCTTCGAGTTACTCTCGCGAGTTCGCGCTGATCGAGTTATTTTTTGCGAATATTCGAGACCGCGGGCGATTCACGTCGACATTGCCGGGAAACTGACATCTCAATCACGCGAGCCGCTTTGTTCGAGTGACGACCGAACACTTACACACGCGCGTCCCGTCGCTCCATATTATCACAGATATCTCGATTGATAGTAGTTATCGAAAACTCCGATGTGCACACTCACCTACTCCTCTTGCCTCGCGGATCTCGGAATTGCCGTCCATTTCGTCTCGCAGGATCGAGTTTCCGTAGCAAGGACTCTTTCAGTCCTGTCTGGCTGTACTTCACTCGGAAGAGACTCGCGCTTCTGCTCCGTAATTCTCCACCGTTTGCCATTTTACCTCGTCGACATTTCCCGGTAAACACTTCAACGTCCACGATATTGTTCTTCTCCATGGTACATTTCCGACTGTATTGATCCGAGTTTCGTTTTACAAAGATTTTCAGTATGTTGACTGACAACATACAAGTGCACATGAAGATCGTGACTTATTTTCAACATTCTTGCTTTTGACACTTGACAACTGATTCGTCGCACGAATAATATTTTAAGTAAAACGCCATTATATCTCTTTTCTGTCAGCGTTTTCTGAGTAATTTTTCGCAAGTAGATTATAAACTGATGCGGATTTTTTTCTTTACATAATTCAAACAAAACAAAAATTTGTAACATATATTTTCATTGCACTTGAGCAGTGATCTTTACTGCCATGTGATTGTAACGCTTCAGAATATTTACATCATAAATATATTAAAAAAGGCAAAAATAAGGCCATTATAAAAAAAAATAAAATGTAAGTGACAAAATACCTGACGAAAAATGATCAAACGAGAAAAAATCGGGAGATATTTGTGGATCGTTTACGTGTATTCGAATGAGAGCGGCCACAGCCGCATTTTTGAGCGCTATCATGCACAGTGGTGCACAACGGAACTACGGAGCTATGTTCACGAATCTTTCCAGTCGGTTACACACTCTATCTGCCGTTATGATATTTAGAGATGTATAAATGTGGTATTTATACCTACACAGTACACTGTTTTCTGATTCGATATTTCAAGAATTGCAATGCATATACGTATCGCGCTTCGATGCGCTCGATACATTCCCAGAATGTTGCTCTATGTATTTTCCGCGTATTACTATTATTGCATATCAGAAACTAAAAAGAGGAACGTAAAAAGAGACAATGGAAAAACTAACAACTTTGTATATGCAACATGTTTTATTATCGAAATCTACGATTTTCAATGAGTAATAATAAGATTTTATCAAGCAGCATCACAGAATTCAATGATGACAACCGTATAACAAAATACGGAGCAGATAAAGTGTATCCATCAGGTATCATCTCTTTAGATCATTATTTGCTGCCATTACTATACTTGTTAACAATTTATTAAAATTTGTTATATATTTATAAAACAGCCAAACATATTCAGTTTTTTTTTTTTTATATTCAATCTCTTTTTACTTTCAACCCACATGGAACAAAAACTCCATTAGACATTCATTAGATATTTCATGAAGCTATTGACGTCCAATGGACGTCTAATGGAGTTTTTGTTCTGTGTGGGAATCCTCTTATAAGATTTTTTACTTGTTAAATAACACGATACATATAAATTATACATTTTATGAATTACAATCATTTTTTCATTTGCCTATCATTTTTACAATCTAAGTTCTTATATCTATAAGAGACATTACAATATCAGAATAAAATCAGTTTCTTCTAAAACTTATACAATTAAAAAAAAAAGACGTTACGTCTAAAAGTTTACAATTAGTTTTTTTTCAATTGCCTAATATTGTTACAATCTGAACTTATAAATTAACTTAACGTAATTAAGATGAAGGCAGCATATCACTCGCTTTTATTTTAATTTTACAACATAAAATGTCTTTTTTTTTTAAAGAAAATAGCACCTAAGTATTTCTATATATCCCCAACGCCAGCAATTTTTATTCCTGTATATTTTCTACATATTCTTATTTGTTCCTACCAATCCCTACATGTTCCTAACTTTTCCTGTTTATCGCGCAGTATCTCTTTTTATGTATAGAAATTGTTTTAAGTATACCCATTTCAAAAAACTTTTTTTCTCTTTTTAGTATCTTTTTTATTCTATCTTACATGTTTATTCCTAATACGCAATTATATATTTACGCAAATACACGTTTATATTTTTACATTTATATTAGTTTATAGTTTTTAAGCCCGAAGGAATATAAATTTATAATTTATTTTGAAGTAGATTTTATATCAAATATGCCAGAAAATATATAAGAGATGTTAAAGACGAATTCAATAAATTCAAGAGAGAATTCTTCGAAGAATTTGCAAAATTCAAAGAATTCAAAGAATAATAAAAAAGTGTAACAGTTAAGAATAAGTCTAAAAAGTTGAGAGATATAAAACTTCAAATAACAATATATATTCAATAATATACAAAAAGTGAATAAATAAGCAAATCTAACATTAATAAACACATCAGCTATAAAAATAAAAATTTATACACATACCATCACCACATTCATATAAAAATAGCAAATAAAGAAAATCATTCTACGATATATGATTGTCTTTATATATTAGCGCCATTAGAAATCAGTGCGATTAACATAGGCGGATACTACGCATGCAATAACAAATTGTTCCTTTCAATTGTATTGATTATAAATACATATATTTTTGTATAGATTACGTATATAAAAATGTCTTTTTATATATATTTTCTATTACTAAAAAGAATAAAATTTGAAAATCTTTTTTGTAAAAAAGGAAGTGTAATTGTAAGCGTACAATGTATGATAAAGATAAAAGAACTTTTAATTAAAAGGAACAATTGATAACAGTTAATTTTGTAACTCATATTTATGCGGTCCCTTCGTCGTCCATCGATGTATCTTCCTCTCCAATCGGTCTCTCTCGGAAGTGGCCCAGCAGATTTTGCGTTGTCGTCTCCCATGTAGTTATAGCACTGTTTATCACTCGCGACACGAAGTATAAACACACGCGAAACTTAAATTTTATTACAGTTCAAAGTCTATATTTTTCTAAAGTCCGCACTTCAGTTACTATTAAATCTCTTAAAACTCGAATAAGTGAAAAACGAAAAATGAATCACAATAAAAGAAATTTGCGAAATTAAATACCGCGTATTTGTTTAAATTAATATAAATTGTCAAAACTCGTATAATATACAAAGATTCGAAATATAAAAATTATTTTTTATGACGAAACGAGTATTTCTGTTTATTTCGATGTAATTGTTTGCGTAATACACAAAGCTCGATTTTTCTTGCAGTTTCTCACTCCGAAGACTTTCTCACAGTTCAGTTTTGCGAGAACTATTGCGCCTTATGTTCAAGCGAAGCATGATAACTATACTATTGAGAGTCGTATAATACTAACGTGATTCTACAATATGTGTGCAACTTTAAAATATCGCGAATTTCAATCGTAAAACTTAATAATCTCAAACAAAAAACTTCGATCGTAAAGCACACGTAGTCGATAGAAATCTCGTAAAAAAACTAATCAGATTTTAATGAAAAAAAAACGGATTATTTTCAAAGATATTCTTTCTTGATACATTATACACTTATAGATATAATTAATTGTTTGCGATATATATGAACGTAATAAACTGAAACTTCGCGAAAATCGGAAAAGAAAAAATAGAAAGAATTGTAAAAATAAGTGAAAAAGTATAATAAACAAAGTAACAATCTAATATTTTCCGCGGAAAAATCGCGATTCTATTCTAAGGCTTCGCAATTTGTGGCGCAATTCAGACGTCAATTTTGATGCAGACAAAACGAACTAAACTTCCGTTTTGATAAAATGTAAAACTTTACCACTACAAAATGTAAAACATTGAGAACTTTATAAAAATACCAAATAATATATGTCTTATTATAAATTTATAGTATAATGGTACGTATGTCTAGCAGATTTTATAAAAAGAAAATAAAATGTTTTTTTTATTACTTTCTTTCGATTTTCATGCAAGGTGTAAGAATACTTGTAATATCTTACTTGTGTGTAATATTATTTATAATATTTTAATGTGAATTTAACACTATTGCCAATGTATCAATATCTTTTAAATTACGGAATATTAAAGGTATGTGCTCAATGTTTCAAAATTTATAAAAACAATAATCTACACGCGATTCGCACTGATTTCGAACCATCACCACAACCCTAAAGTTTACTCACCGAGCGTTGGTTACCTTCTGCTACACACCACTCTGTAACAAACATGGTATTTTCTCATTATTGGATGTAAGATAATTTTGTAACGTTTAAATATCTAATCATGTGGCTTTTTAACAGATAAGCAAGAAATTTTGAAATTTTCTAAGAAAATATATTTAACAGTTATCCTTTACGTATAAATGACTATATAAAAACAACATACCTTTGTGCCAGCATCCTATTGCCCGAACCGGCTCCTCCTGTGCCGCAAACTCCTCTACGTAAACAATCCGTTTGCACCTGAAACAACGAATAATAAGAGAAAATTAATAGAGTTAATTTTAAGTGAGATTATTAAATCTTTAAATAAAAAGAGTTGAATATGAATATATGAATTCAAGTTTTACAACTAAAATGTGTTGTATTCTGTTTTTTATTTGCAAATTCGATACTGACCTTTATACCGTTTTGAGGTGATCCGAACCGGCTCCTCCGGTGCTGTCGATTTCTTCTTTTTGTGTGAAGAATTTGTACGCACCTAGAATAACAAAAAGCAAGAAAAACTTAATAGAGTTAATTATGAGAAAAATTATTGAATTTTTAAATAAGATTTAGTTCAAGTTTTAAAACAAAAATGTTATGTTTCGTTTTGTACTTGTGCAACACTGACCTTTATACTTATACTTTCAGTTGACTTGAATCAGCTTCTCAGATGCCGCAAAGTATTCTCAATAAAAAATTACTGTTTGCCTGAAAAATACGACGAAGTAGAACAAAATTAGCAGGCAGTTGTACGAGAATATTAAATTGTTTTATAATTTTATTAAAGAATAATGTAGCATGATACATACTTTGTAACTAATATGTTATGAGCTCCAAATATTCTCTTCTAAACTCGTGAATGTCTACCAGGCCTGTAAAAAATCGTCTCTTAAAATAATCAACATTCACTAAAATTTCTAAAAAAAATAGATGATTTATTTTTAATAATTTTGCGTTAATTTAATCTCTCGCGCAAACACAGTAAACAAAGTATTAGTTTAATAATAATGTTTTTGTAAAAAACGAAAGAGAGAATTTTTACGTGACTCTATTTACACAATCTTTTATATATATGGCTCTTATTTTAATCTAAACCAATCACAATCGATCGCTACTTTGCCGCTCAGTGAGCGGTTGTGCTTTTGAATGCACTATTGTGTCTTCAATAGTAGCACTATTGCCGTGAAAGTGCTGCGTAAACAGGCGAAGGAAAGAGAACGATTGTACATACGCGCCGCGTTCTCACTACTCCCACTACTTAGTCCTTTGTCCCACTTGTTTACTTCTCACTGCTCAAACTAGAAAAAAATGTAAACTTTTAACGTTCCAAAATTTACAATAACAAAATTTTTGAACTCAAAAATGTAGAATCTCGTAAAACAAGATATCGATACGATTTACTTGCCTATCAGAACCAACGTTTGCGCGATATTAATTACGTATTATAGTAAACGTATGACACATTTTGCAACAAACATATACTACTGATATTTGCTCGAGAGACGCTAATCATCGCGAGAAATAACGTGACATTCGAACTTACCTTTGCTCTGTGTTGCGCGTCGGCAAATGATCGCCAAACTGTATCAAAACACGCGTGATACTAATTACATGTTACTGCAAACGTCCGACACTTTGCGACAGATATTTATTATTAATGTTCTTACGCGAGACGATACTGATCGCGAGATTTACGAGAAAAAAACGAAACAATTCAAATATACCTCTTCTCTGCGTTGCGCGTTGGCAGCAAATGGGTGCCAAAGTGTATCGAAGCGCGCGATATTGCGATTCTCGAAATATCGAATCGAAGCAACGCTTCGATACTCTCGTTGCTGCGGGCTCGATCTTTCATCACTGCGTACAGGACGGGAACATAAAACCAGAGAGAAGAATGGTTACGTTCAGAAAACTCAACGATTGAGAGATCATCACTTATGATAGGACTATTCTTCAAAATCTACAGCGATTCCAAAAGTATGATCCAATCAGAAGTGATTATCTCTCAACCGTTGTGCTTCGTATACGAAAGTTTTCCAAGAATTAAGGCCCTGTATGTATGTACCCCGAAATTTATCTTCGGTCACAAACTTGTTGAGAGTTCTCTATCTTGTTACAATCGCGTGTTCATAGTTCAAATATCGCGTGCTGGAGCTGTGGTTGTTAGTGGAAATTTGTGTATAAATAAATTAGAAATATGAAAATTAAGCGAGTCAGAAAAATAAAACGTAAAAAGAGATACAACGCGAATGTGAATCGAAAAAGACTGCGAAATAAGTTACACAAATTACCGATTATACCGTGGTAAGTTTTCTAAATTTTAGACTATCTTGAAATCTATTATGATTGCTGGAAAAGCCAAGATACAGGCTACAGTGAGCGTTAAAGACGGAGTAAAAGAAAAAATTTAGATCTAATCCAATCTAAAAAACACAAAAAAGATTCGTTCCGAAAATTTTTAGCGCTAACAGCAACAATAAACGAAGAACAGTACACAAGAAAAATAAATACAAGAAAGAGATATAATTGGTTTTAGAATAAATTTTATATTATTTTATGTTATTAGTGACGAAGTAAAAAAGGCATGGGAGCGTAAAAAGTCTTTACGTGCCAATTTAAACGAAATGGGTTTGGCATATGATGCAAATGAAGCACTGAAAATTCCTAATTCAAAGCAAGAAATGTTGAAGAAAGCTAAAAAATTAACTGTGGAAAATGAATGTTTGCCGGATCACGAAGATGAAGTTACAGATGTGTGTCCATCAAAAAAGTATGTAGTGGAACAGCTTGAGGCTGATGCAAAAGCACCTAGAGAACATCGTCTAAATATACCAAAACCACAAGCAGAGTTTCTTACATATTTAATAAAGAAATATGGTGAAGATTATAAGGTAAAAACTTTTCTTGGAATAAAAGTGTTATTATTTCGACAAAATAAAGTATATATATATATATAATTCTTTGTTCATAGGCAATGTCAAGAGATAAGAAAAATTATTATCAGTTAACTTGGAAACAAATAAGAGCAAAAATAAAACTGTTTAAAGGTATTCCGCAACAGTACAACAAATATCTTCAGAATACTAACATACAAGAATTAGAGAGTAAAGTTGTCTAATTAGGTATGTTTGTAAACATTTTTATATTTAAAATTTACCATTATATGGCATAATAGTAAACAAACTTAAATATACGTATGGTGTTATGTTTTACTTTACTTTTTTACATTTTTTCAACTTTGATATGAGTCCCACATAGAATTGGTTTCAAAACTTTATATCAAGTAAAGCCTCGCAAAATGATATAACTTAATGTTTCATTCTTTAAAGTTTTATAAAAAAATAAGTATATGTATATACAGTATAATTGAAAAATAGTTAAAAAATCACAGGTATAATAATAACATATTTAAATAATAGGACGAGAAATGTGCATATTTATGTCAGCAACGGATACATTATTTTTATTATGTATAAAAAAATATGGATTTAAGGTGCTCTTGAGAAACTAAGATTTTATTTTTAAATTGAGGTTTTTCAATATTATTCTTGAAACATTTTATGAAAAATAAAAATATTTGTCAATATAGTATTTAAAAAAACAAACCAACAGTTTGCTATTATAGGATTACACGAAATAAAGACACTTGATATAAACAGTCTTGCTTTAATTATACAAGTACGTAAAATACGTAGAAAAGTAGCATAGCTGTGTTATTAATGTGGCTAGGCGCATCTTGTGCCCTGAGTGAAGACAGGCTATTTTTCCGGCTTAAACATTCGCAATCACGCTAAAATCCTCGACATTGCTCGCGTATGTATCTTTTCAATCATTTTTTGGGGTAATAATGTCATCGCGGATATCGAGGCCTGAAGAAACGCAGGTCCAGTCTTGTGAAGATCGTGAAACTTCAACAACTCTCTCAAAAGTGTGTTTCTTAGATCAGATTACTTTATTTCTCAGACGTCCTAAGCTTTCGATCTCGGTTTCGAGCACGTCTCCACGCTAAAATATGCAGCAAAGTTAATACGTGGTGTGATGTGTATAATATAATTCAAAAGTATATTTGTCTAGTTTTTCAATTGTTACTTGTGATGCTTATACACGATAACTTTACCTGTAGAAATTCTGGTGGTTTACGTGTGAATCCTACACCGGCGGGTGTACCGGTAAGAATTACGTCACCTGGCAATAATGTGAAAAATCTAAAAGTTCAATTAATATTGTCAATACCTATATGTTTACTTGTGTGATCGTTTGACGCATTATAGAAAAAGATATGCGACTAACTGTGAAAGATATGCGACTATCTCGTGAGGTTTGAAGATAAGTTCGCTGGTGTTGCCGTCCTGCTTCAAATTACCGTTCACCCATGTTTTGACGGACAGATTGTTGATGTCGCATATCGACTCTTTGGTGACAACAGCTGGGCCCAGAGGACAGAACGTGTCCATCCCTTTGCCGAGCAAGAACTGGCCACCGTTCCTCTTCGACTTCTGCCAATCGCGCGCTGTTATGTCTTGCGCCACCGTGTAACCGAAGATACAGTCCTCAACGTTGTCATTGCTTACGCTTTTGCATTTCTTACCGATTACTATTGCCAACTCGGCTTCCCAGTCGACTTTCTAGAATCCAAAGATAAATCACACTTTAATAATTATTGAATTTATGAAACAAAAAAACAGCACAAAAAAACAAACGTGTAGTTTTCTATATACTTCGTATATAATATCGTTTGTTGTCGCGTTCTATTTTTCTGAATATTATGAGGCAAGAAAGCGAGCTAACAGTTGATAATAATGAAGGAAAATGATTAGCAATTGAAAATAATACAACACGTGAATGTAATTCTCATGTTAAAACTCGTAGTTGAAGCAACAAACCGTGCGAAAAAAACAGATGAGATCGTGACACAATATATTTGGTAAACCAAAAATATACCAGATTCCAGATTCGGCGGGAATCGAGAATTCTCAAGGACATGTCGATCGATACCCGGCAACGGTAATTAATATTTCCAACTTACGTCCGAGATCTGCGGCAGTAGAATGTTGTCACGAGGCCCGATGATGTTGCTGGGAAATTTGCTAAAGACTACCGGACTTGTTGGAATCGGTACACCTTGCTCCTCGCAGTGGCCGCTGTAGTTGAGGCCAATGCAAGCGAGCTTGTCCATGCGCGTGACCGGCGCTAAGAAGTTCACATCGGCCTCGGGTATAATGCTACGTCCCTCGGCGACTATTCTGTAAAGCATCGCATGCTAGACTTAGTCGGATCGCGAGACAGACTTTGGAATCGTCTGATCAGAGTTAATCAACTCGCACGCGAGGCAAAACCTGGTCAGTATTATCTTTTTTTCTTTTGCTAAGAGTGGGAAATCTTGTAATGCAATCTTGTTAAATGAAAAAAAAAAAAAAAAAAACATTAACGCTTGTGTAGAAAATCTATAAAAGATAAAAGAAAAGAAGAGGAGATTTTGAGTTACAAAAGTTACCTCGTGTAAAAATATTATTGCTTCGCGCGTAAGAACGTTAGTTCAGCTAATAATTGTCGTATAAATAGACGACATGCGGTTTTACATGCGCAACAATTGAGTTTCTAGACAGAGGAATGGCGACTCAAGCGTACGCACTAGTGTCAGTTAATTGCTTTTTTAATCACGCGGCTAAACTTCGCTTGATAATTCCAAATTGCTAATTGATAAACTTGATAAGTTTACGCTCTTTATGTACTTGTTATGCTGTCGTTTCTGGTTTAATTGTACCATAACACGCTCACACAGAGGTTTTACAAACAGAATTCTTCGTTTCACGTCTTCTCGGAGGTCAAATTATGCAACAAAATTGTTTCGTGTGATTTTACATTCTATTGAAACACGACATGCGATATTTATTTAATTTCAATAATTAAGTAAATAAAATAAAAACACAAAATAAAATTTATTTTTAATAATAATTAAATTATTATATAATTATTATAAAAACTAATATATAATATTAACTTCTTTAGTTTTATGTAAATTTTTACGTAACTTGTCTGTGACAAAATAATGACTTACTAGTCATTATTTTACGATATTACATGAATAATGTACAAATATATCATGTTTTCAATAGCAAGTTGTGTAATAGAAAGAAAAAAATAAGTATCTATTACGTATATATAAAAAAAACTTTTAATATCATACCTTTTTTACACAGATTACAGTAAACGACAGAAACGATGCACAAATGATTATTATCTTAACGAATTAATTATCATAACTATTATCTTAAAGAATTCATTATATCATTTTTATCGCTCGTCCTAGTTTGGTAGCTGAACGTCATCTACCGCGATTAAATTTAAGAATAAATAACAAAAAGAAAATAAATGGATTTTGTAAAATACAAAAAACTACAAAAATTTCTTTTTTGGCATATTAGAACGGATATAAAAAAATGCTGCTTCATTCACAGAGGCGTCTGTCCTAAAGAAGCTTGAAAGCCTGCCAATTGGCAGTGGCGCAAGGCGCCGTCTTGAGTTAGTATCAACAACTGCGTCTAATCGAAAGCCAGTTGTAATGATAAAATTCAATCTCGTGCGTGCAAGACGCAAAAATTCAATATGAATATGTGGAAAAATTCGTAAAATGTATGTACATTTACACTTAATTTCAACGACTTATGCGAGATAACAAAAGTGTAATCGGTAAAAAGATTGCGTTGGCAATATTTGAATGAGATCGGTAAATAAAACACCAGAAAAACATGCACTACACAAATACTACAATACATACATAATTCGTGAAACTTTATGTAATGACGTGATATGAAGCAATTTTTCCTTAACGATAGAAAAAATATAAATTTCAAGATACTTAAGTGTCATTAGTTGTCACGACTAGATCCGGTCTTTCAATTGTTATACCGAAATTGCTAAAAAAAAAAATGATGCACAGGTAATGGTCGGAAATTACACTTGACATTTCCTTTTGAAAACTATTTTGCTTTCAATTTGTTTGATAGTGAGAATTCCCGTTAACTCGTGAAAAGCTAAATTGTTGATAGTCTATATTGCTATATCTTATTTGCGCATGATAGTGATAAAACATTCGTTATTGCTTAATCGCCGTATATCGGAGCAAATATGATTTCTCGTTCGAAAACTCATTCTTATTTTAATGCTACTTCTATTCAGCAAGAGAGATCATTGACATTAATTTATTCGCGAATAGTAAAGAAACGAAAATAAACATTTTAAATGTAACAGATGAAAAAAGATAAAAATAATTAAAAACAAATAATAAAGAAGTTTATACGTGTACAAAACGTATCAATTTCTTTTTTAATGAAACTATCAGTCTGGAGAAAGGCGAATCGATTGATCTAATGAAGGTGTGGTCTCAATACGTTCAAACTTAAAAAAAAAAAGGGACTAATAACACATTACGTATGTGTGTGTAAGCGTAAGTAACTAATTGAAAAAGGGAATAAAAAGAGAGAATTACTACTTTCTCACACGGATTGAATGCTGAAAGCACCAACCTCTCTACTTCCCTCCTTAGGTCGATATCGTCTTCCCTGGTGAAATAAATGTTCACGATGAGCTTGAGTAATATGTTCTTTATTACTCCATGTATTATTCCACCCGTAATATTACACTATACTAAGATAGCTCAAAAAATCATGAAAAGCTTGTAAGATAACTGAGAGAAGTTGTAATCACGTTTATTTCAATCACGAGATATACGAATAGATAGATTTCATTGTTTTGAAAGTTTAGTTTTTCTAAAACAAACTTCTAAATAATCTTTTAATTTACAAAATTAATGTTTTAAAAAGTAAAATAAAGAATATATAATGTTATTATACTCGGAAATAAGCATAATACAAACATAATTCCATTCTTCAGCTTGATTTATATGAACATTGCGTAATCGCATGCTATTTAATTACATGTCATAAATTGATTGATTGATTGATTCGGCTTTATTTTTATAGCGCTCTGGGAAAAGTTCCCCTCAAGCGCATAATTAATAAATAAGAGACAATTGCGGAACTATCGGGCACAAAAATATTGACGCAACAATCAATAGTTTTACACACAATACACGGTCTCTCATTATCTTTCCAGCGCACATTATAATCGCATGGAGGAAGAAGGAGAGGGATCTCTATCTCTCTCTCTCTCTCTCTCAAAACTAACCGCCAGCTGTTTAAATCGCTTTTTTACCTTTTCGCCTTCTTGAGAAGGTCATCTCCGCCTTCGAGGAATTTTTTCAGCGTGTTCGGGATCCGTGAATCGACAGCCGACACGGCAATGATGTCACCACCCTGCTTCAATTGGACTCCGAGGTGTTGCGGACCTCCGGTCTTGTTTGTGAATTGAACGAATCTGCGAAAAAAATACAACCGGCGCCATTATATCGACCGGATAAGTGGCAAGAGTGATCCAGATAATAATCAAGTTTTACACGCGTGTGGCATGACTTTCTAAATACGTACACATGGAGAGATCATTTATATCATTTGCGGAGAGATGAAAGCGCAATTAAATAATATACATAGCGAAAAGTAATAAAATCACATATGGCGAAAGTTCTACATATAGATTTTTCTATATACAGATTTTTTTTATATATATATTTATTAATTTGTGAAACACCGAAAAATTTGATCTCTACGATTCATTGATTTAATATCGAAAAAATAAGAAGAAAATTCTCGGAAGAACTATCACGCATCATTCGATAGATCGAAAACCTTTCACATTTCGATAACTGTGCCCTCTAGCAGCCGAGGCCGCAATTATCTCTGTCTGTAAAAACTGTTTCGAAAATCAAACACAGCATAAAAACCAAATAATTTACATGTTTACAGAAAATAAGAGGTAGCTATTTTCGAATCCAAACGTCTCAAATTACTTCTAATCAAATCCAAGAAGATTGATATGCGTTTGATTACATTCTACTTCACGCCTATAATCTCGAGTCCACCTCCAAACACGTCTCTCATTATTTTGCATGTGAAAAAAATAAATTTAGATGTTTAGATCTAGAGTCAGCTGTTGCGTCATATTTTTTAGAAACGGACGTCAGGTATGTTTTCTCCAAAAAGAGACAAGCAGCTGGACCATAAAGTCGGGCCATGATTATAGATAAGCAACACACTTTGCATTCTAAAGACGGAATAGCGAGATTCGGAACGTCAGTCTCCGAACGTGGAAAAAAAGCTACGAAGAGACGTCGTTCGTCGCGCGAGAAGAAAAACGCTTTCAACGCTGAAAAAAAAACCAAAGCTTCTATATCTCTTACGTGAAAAAATAGAGACCGGCTTTTCCTCGCACTCACCTCATATCGAGCGTGCGACTCACAGAGAAATTCCTGCTGCCTACGAAGTTGGCGGCGACGACGGTGAGACTCGGATTGGTTTCACGTTTCCCGCACGAGTTCCTGACCGCCAGCCCGAACGCCCTGCCAAGCAATCGCAATCTCGCGCGGTATGGCATTATCGTTATCGCACCAAGGAAAAAAACCGAATAATCAGGTGATAAGAAAGAGAGCGAAGTGTATCTGTACAAGAGTAACCGAGAGACACACGACTTCTCCAACCACACTCACATGAAGGACAAATCACGACTAAGACGCACGGGGCACATTTATACAACCGTGCGGCTCTCGGGCGCCGCACGTACGTAGCGGTGCCACGTGACCCTGTGATAAAAAAAAAAAAAGTAATCCTTCTGTTAAAGCGCCTGGCGATCGATGCGATTTTCAACCGATTGCAGAAAACACTGAGAATAATTTTTGCGCGCGAAATGAAACAACTTATCGTAAAATGTGGAATATAAATCAAGAGCGTGTTAATCTTATCTTGCAACGATATCGATTAAATGTTAAATATTCCAGGTGTGGAGATGCGAATATGTCACATGCGTATCGTTACACATGTCAACAAACTTCCAAATATTTATAATAACTTATATAACTTACATTAATATAAGCAATTCAAGAAACTCACATACACAATTTTGCTTATAAAATATAAATATTCAAAAGTAAATGTCACACAATTAATTGTTAGTACATTTCAAAGCACATTTCATGTGTTATGTAATAATAAAACATGACAAAGATATTTAAAAAAAAAAAAGATACACGGCACTTAGACATCTTTAATATTTTTACTTCACAAAAATTTGTGTTCATCTATCAAAGAATACGTCACACGCATATATTTTGCTTAAAAGATATAACCACGTTCGAAAGAGTAAATATGTCACATGTGTATAATTTATTTAATTAATTGAGTAAAGTACATGATATTTTGCACATGATATGAACAAAGCGTAGCAAAAAGATAAATTTGAGGACAGAAACGATACACCGCACTTACAGAGATAACATTATTTTTAATACTCTTCTGTTCAACTTTACAAAAACTCGTTTATCTATTTACTTAATAAATGATCAGGGCAGCGGTTTTTTTCGAGTTATAAGAAACTCTTCTCGTTCGTGATACGGATTATACGGATCGTCGACATAATAGTGTCGTCTCTTCCACCATTTGGACACCATTTTATCTAGCAGCGTACTTTGCTGGGCGTTGCAGAACACATGCTCTCGCAATCTCTTCTTTCTCGCGCACGATTTTCTCCACAAATGTTTTTTTCGTCCTGCCTTTGTTCTAATCCATATACCCCTGTAAGATTTTATTAACTTTTTTATTTGAATTTTTTTTCAGAATTTATATCATGACATGTACGAAGTTATGTAGGAAAATTTATAAATTTACGATTAAGTGCAATCAAAAAGCATGAAAAAAACAATCTTAAAATATTACCAGTCTAATCTGTAAAAGCGTTTTATAACAGCTTTGACTGTTGCGGGTTTTCCTCGTGCCATAGTAAATTTAGTTTTTGTTCTGACAGGCAAAACTATAGGTTCTACCGGCATGGTTAGAGCAGGTTGACTTTTTGATGCTGCGTAACTGGAAAGACATTATATTTTTATATAATAAACTTGTTCAACATATTCCATTATTATTCACATAACGAAAATGTTTGTATGTTTTAATAATATATTATTTTAATAATATACTTTGTGTTACATTACTTTAGCAATGTCTTATGTCGAACTGTTGTAACAGGATCCCATTTCTGAACAATAGTGGACAATGCGCCAAACCCTCTGTACTGTGTCAGATTCACAACAGGATTACATTTTGAAGCAAGAGAATCAAAACTTGCCAAATTTGTGCTTGCTGCTCTGGTTGCAATTTCTGTAAGAATAATAGAATACAAAATATACGCTTTTCCAAAACCTGTATTCACACAATATCGTATTACAAAAAAAAAGTTCGTCACAAATTATTTACACATACAATCACGTAAACGTAATAAAACTCAAAACACGCGCAACTGCGCCACTAGATACGCAATTAAACAAGTTGAGAGCGAAAATAAATCTCGACGTGCATTCAGGATAAGAACTTCTCGCGATTTAAATGTGCGCGCGCGCGCGTTCCGCGTTCCGTATCGTTCCTTTCGCCAGGTGCGCAACATGGCGGACGCGGCGAACATAACCTGCGTAAGACGCCGATTTTCATCGCTTCTGTCGGAACGGGGCACGGAATCGCGGTGAATTATGGTGCAGCGCGAGGCCGCCGCGTGACGGATCTTCGCGCCGCGGTCGTCGATGACAGAATCGGTCGTGAGACACGCGTATACTCACCTCGCAACGCAGCGCTCACGACACGCAACATTCTTCTTTTCGCGCAGTCACCGACGGTCGGTGACCAGCTGTTTTTGTGCCGTCGTTCCCTTTTTCCCGCTGGCTGCCTGACCGGCCACTCGAAAGATGTTCCGAATTGGATTAAAATTTCCGTGCAACGGTCTAAATCGGGTACGTAGAACGCGGCGTACGCAAACGGCGCACGATCGTTCGACGGTTTTTTTCCCACCGAAAAATAAAACGTGAGAATTGTCAAAAACCAACGTCGCCCGCGATGACGGGGTCACACCGTGGCGATCACACGTCCTCGACAGTGTCGCGCGATGTTTTGCCACAACCGATTTCTTATCCTCGTGTTGCATGTCGCGCGATTAACGACGAGCGAAAAGGAATCAAACGTCGCGACGGCGACTGCTCGGTCTCAGAAATGTTTTTCAGTGAATAAATTCGGTCGCGGGCGACGTTTCGGCCCGCGTGTCTCGTGCGTGTGACAAAGATGGCATGAATGCGTGCTTACATAATTCCAGGAGTGTGTGCTTGACCGTCATCATTACTCTTTCAGGTCAAAAAACACGGCTGCTCCAAATTACACCTGACAGCGAGGTACTATGAAACGCGAGCGCGAGTTAAGTGCGAACCGGATGGAAGGTAAGAGTTTGACGAGAAGTTTTATATTTTTCCGATGACAAATCTCTCGCCGCTTGTCAATTGTGTTACTCGGTGTCATTATCGAATTTTATTTAATCCGAAACAGTTAACGTAATGTATTTCGGTTCAGTCACGAAGAGTTTTTAGTAAAATATTGTGCTTTATGTTAGAGCAAGTGAGGTTATGTGTGTCTGCTCATGTGTTTTCCTAAAATACAAATAACGAAGTATTTTTACGAATGACAAGTGTTTGGCGTCTGTCTTGTTTATGACCTTATTACGGCTGTAAATAGGAAAGATTGAATGATTACATAAAGTACACAGAAATAATAATAGATTACAAAAGCTGCAAGTTAGTTTTGCAAGTAATATATATTTCAGTTATGTAAGTTTTTAAAGTCATTGTTTTAATAAGGTCTTTCAATTTGCTTCAGGCTGTGCAAAGATGTCAGACTTGTATCCAGAGTTATTGGACCTAGATATTCAACTGCACCATCAAAAGGGTATGTAATATTAAAATGCAGAAAGAGAGATTTTATATTATTTTGCTGTTAGTATACTAAATCATATATATATTGATTATTATTTTGTCAATAAATATTTACATGCTATAAAAAGTTTAAACATAATTTTAAGTTAACTGCTTTGTTTATGTTTGTAGCAGTGAAAAGAGTCGAGGAGGTTCTGGAACACTCATAACTCTAGGAGCTGTAACAATAGGTACCTTAGGAATAATAGCATATGCAAAAACTGACCCAGAATTTCGAGCCACTCTGGAAGGATGGGTTCCTGGCACAGACAAAACTATTCGGATTATCTTTCAGGAAGATTCCAATTACTACAATCTCATATTTACATTCTTTGAAACACTAAAGCAAACGTAAGTTAATAAAGTTCATAGCGTTAATAATAAATTATGTTTACCGATGATTTTGTTAATGTAAATAAATCTTTCACAGGATATTTGGACTGTTCATAAACGAGAAACCAGAACCAAAAGCAGGTCGGTTACATCATAAAATGGATTGCAAGCTTACAGAATACATACGTGAGCCTCCAAATTAATCCTATTTCCTCAACTCCCGTTTTACACACTTGCCTTTTTTTGATATTTTATCTCTCCTTTGATTTTTTCCTCTGCTCACATTTCTTGAAATAAATAACAATATAATATATTAATTAGTTTTCTAATTGTACATAGGAATATTAATAATTATACTAACTTATAACTATCGCGCGTGTACATGTGTGTGTAGCACCAAAACCAGCATTTAAACCACTTGTTGAGCAAAAGGAACCGTCTAAAGAGAAGTACGCCGAAGTTCGTGTTAGTAAGGAAAAAGATGAAAAAAACGTTGGTACGTTTGCATATTGTTTTGAATATGCTTTATGTTGCGTGATAAAGCAAAAGTTTACATACAAAACAGAACAATACGTGAAACAATAAGTGACATAATATATATTTATGTGCAGTAGTTGAGAAGCCGACACCTTTGAAAAATGTGCCCGAGGAGTTGCTACCTCAAAATCTCGTCGAGTTGGAAACACACTGCGGCGAAGCCGCCGCTAAGGCCATCGCGGCGTATCAGAAGGCTGTGTGCGCGCTTCATGACTATAACAAAGATGTTGTCAAGTTGGTCGAGAACGCCGGCACTACAATAAACGAAGCCGTTTGGCAAAGGTGATAGTTATTATGCTTACGTAAGTCGTTTCACGCCTCATTTCTATATCGATTATGTAATTGGAAATTGTCGCGGTTGCAGTTTAAAAGAGGCGACGGAAAAGAAAAAACAGATGATACAGCAGGCGGAAGAGCATGCGAGAGACGCGGTGGACTCTCTTAAGCGGATGTATAATTTAATCGACGACACTGTACTTCAAGCGCCCGCTCACATGAAAACAGCCGCGAGACGAAACGTCCGAAAGATTTTGGACGATGTGGACGCGGCGAAGAAAAAATATACCGATGAGCTGCAGAACAGCGGCGTCTCTGAACAATTCTGGAAACAGGTTCAGACGGCGCGAGAGAACTTTAACGAAGAATTGCACATTCTGTTTCCCAAAATAAATATTCATGAGAAGAAACTGTCCGTCAGCGAAGAAGCCTTCGATTTATTTGTTCTGCATATGTATCACAAGGTCAACAATTTGCAGAAAGAACTGGAGAAACAGAGGGTGTGTTATTGTTACATTTATTTATTTATTTATTTATTTATTGAATATTTTCAAAAGAGAAAAACAATACAAATTTTTTATACGACTCGTTTTGTCATAAATAATACACATTTTTCCGGAAATACATATATTTATAAAACAAATTGCACGATTGCAGATATTGTACGAGAGTAAAATAAAAGCGGCGTTGAAGGCGGCTGGCGACACCACAAACCAAGAAAAGCTGGATGCACTAGTTTGCCTCGCAGTTGACAAAGAGAAACTTGCCATGGAAAGCGAGAACGCGAAAAAGGTAGGGAATTCTCGTGTTTTTTCAACTTTTGAAGCGAGTCGACACAGAAATATCAAATTTCGAAGCGACGTGCAAAGTTTTAAATTTGCAGACGCAACGCGCTATTTCGGTTTTGCGATATTTTTTTCTTTTTCGTTCATATTGCGCTCTATGGAAAAAGATAGATGCTAATTCGTTTACATTGTTTGTGTAATACATATGTATATATATATATATCCGCGAGGAAGGAGCAAAATGCTCGTACACGATTCACAGTTGTCTTCAAAGCGGATATTTGGCGTGCAAATCGTATACGCCGAGTGGTGCGTCTACGTGTTCTTGTTCTTCTCCTTCCCTCTCTTCTTCCAGTGTGCAAATGCTGCGAATATACGCGAGCTTTGGCGTCATTATTAATGTTGCTCCGGCGCGCGTTCATATGAGTTTGCGACCGCGCATTCATATCGCGGATCTGACTCTGTCATCGCGAGCACGGATACAGTCGCGCGAATTAAAGAGAGATAGCATAAGATTTTCTCCATTTATGAAATCTCTCGTAAGTCGTTTTACGACGATAAACGCTCGAAAGGTTTTCGAGGTTCCCGGAAAAATGTATTTTGCAATGTAAAAGAAAAATGAGAGAGAGAGAAAGAGAGAAAGAGAGAGACAGTTAAGAGTGGAGAGATGAAAGTACTTAAGTTGTAAGGTGAAAGAATAGAGAGATCGCGGTGATAAAGCGGGTCTTCATTAAAAAGCGCTGGGAAAGTAACGGAAAAAGAAAGTAACGACGAGTCACTTGAGTCGTAGCTCTGCTTGGCATTTATGCTTTTTTAGTGCTTTTTAAAAACCTTTCAGGCCGAATACAGATTGCACGTAAAATAATATTCGGGCCCTGCTTTATATATGTATAAAAGCAGCCTAAGTACATCTTGTACAATTCTTCCAGGAAACGCGAACATTTTTCAACTCGATTATCATTTCGATTATTCTTTTTTTTTTTTTTTTTTCTATAGTCAGATCTGATATTTGCGCAAACTTTTTTGAATCGAACGAAACCGCACGAATTTGTAAATTTCGGATCGTATATTTGGATAGAAGCGCGCTTCGTTTTTTCTGTTTTTTTTTTTTTTTTTTTTGTTTTTTTTTGTTACATAACAAAAATTCATATTAATACAGCATCGTATGTAACGTCGTTCATATTGCTTTCGGATATATGCCGCGTCGGACGGTTTCACCACCAGCCGTCGCTGGCTCTTTTATTTATTTCCATTTGGCCGGTCGCCAATATTTTGACAGCAACGGGCGAATGTTATTCGTCGGAGTAGACGCTGTGTTCACCGCGTACCTATTCGGTATGCTATCGCAAGATATCTGCTGAGGAACCATTATGACTTACTGTTCTCGTGGTTGTTCGACGTGCCTTCTTTTCTCTTTCCGCGAACTCAACTCCCCACCTTCTTTTTTATATTTTTTTCTTTCTTTCTCTTTCGGGTCGCGCGCTGTCGAATATAAATCTTGTCGGATCGACCCGGTCGACGCGCGCGACCTTTTGTTCCCGTTTCGGACAGGAACAGGGGTGTCCTCTAATTGCTATTTGTCCACGAGCTTCCGGTACCGCTTGTTAACGTCCGGTCGAATACGTCTCATCGTTAATGCGTCGCGCGTGACGAGATTTTCTCCCTCCCTTTCAACACTGTTTTCTTTGTCGGAGTCTGTTTAGATATCGAGAAGATTTTTGTAGCAAAGATCGGGGGATTAAGTATCACTCCAACCTGTGAGTTGGTTAAGATTCTCGAGATAACTCTTTGTGTCTGTCTTATATTCATTTCTTCTTAGTTGTTGTTTTATGTTTTATGTTTTTGTCTCTGATTTGTGATAGATTTCTTTTATGTTATGTGATTTTTTTTTTACGGTGTTTAATGTGTGCTTCATTGATGACCATTATATTTGCTCTCTCCGTTATCTCCGCGTTATCTATCACACGTATATGAGTGTGGAATTAATTATGATAAGACTCGCAATCGTCGCATAATTCGTTCATAAGTTGCCGCTGACAAACGGCCGTTCGTTTCCGCGGAAATCGGTTTCAAACGTCGGGAACAAATGCGACGAAAGTGTGCCACTTGGTCATCGCATAGGTGCTCGACGAATCGCGAAATTTACGGCGCGGCGCGCCGCTGTTCGTCATCGCGCGCGCACGGGATCTTTCTCTCGCGTCATTTAATTATAACGTACTATTCTTCTCGGAAAAACAACTCGTTCCCGCCGTTAACTCGAGTTTGCTCTCCGAATGTTTACGCCCCGAACGGTAGGTAGCACAGAGGTTGCGCTCTTTCTCTCTGCAAATCGTCAAGCGAACGGTCAGTGAGAGAAGGGCAAGAGTCAACTTTTTTTTTTACGACCGGAGAAGAGAAAGAAAAGTTAATTATCTGATTTTATGTTCCCGGAATAAGGTCTCGAAAAAAAATCGCGAAAGCAGATCTACGTGAAAACAGAATAAACTAGAATAAAATAGAAACTGTGAACAATAGATCAAGTAGAATACAATAAAAACTGCGTAGTTGAAAGAGCATTGTTTCCGCGTTTTTTTTTTTTTTTAACTCCCAATAGACAGATTTAACTTGCTTCTTGATTTAAGCAGTTTTATATCAACTTATCAAGTGAATATATCGAACAAATTACATTTATTGAAACGATTCGTATGATTGTGATTTTTTCCAAAAAAATTGTAAACAAACAATAACACAAAAACTTTGTCGAGCACCGGTATTCGTTTTTTTATCGAATGTTCCATTATATTTATGACGAGCAAATAGCTCTTCCCGTAAGAGCAAGAGATAAGAGTCGTAAGAAAAGTGAGAATATGTCCCATAGTCGTCTAGGAAAAGAAAGAGGTTGCTTGAAAAATTCAAAGTTTCTTATCTGCCACCACCGTTTGGGATTTCAGCCGTGGTCCGACTGCGGGATATCTTTATGGCCGTACACCTGAAAGTTATTTACCGCAACGGACGTGAATTATCGATAAAACTTTTTGCCGCGATTTGTTCTACTCTCGCGCGCGCTAGCGGAGCTCACCTATTGCTACTACCTGCCGTCGGGAAACAAAAAGCGAACGCTGAAACTCGTCCGATCCATTTTCCATAGTTTGTAAAACGATGCTCGTTAAAGTATCATCGATAACTTTTATCAAGCGCAAAATAAACAATTACATGTTGTTCGATTAAAAATCCACGATGTTTAAACCTCATCAATCGAGTCCACAATATCCTCCTAAAAAAAAACAAAAATTTAGTTTACGAAAATCTCACGCGCCTTTTTCAGTGCGGATGTTTAAATACTCCGCTGGGGACGTCGGGATTTAAATGGCCGCGCAACCTCATAATTGTAATTATGAGGAAAAATAATTACGTCACACGTGTGACGGGCGTTGAATATATTATTCCTTTAAAGATTCTAAAGCTTCAAAATGCGTACTTCAACGGAATCGTTATTTAATAACATTCCTTTGAATTCCAATAGCCTTCCATTTTCGATATCCGTCTTTTCCTTTCATAAATGTGCAATGTGCACTCTCATTTATAATCCCCAAGAGTCGCTTAGCCGCTTTTTTCGGACACGACGTGGTGTAGCACGCGTACTCCGGGATTCCGAACGATCTTTAGTGCACGTGTGCGCCGCAATCGTATATCTAGTTTTACGACGGAAGCACCCGCCGCACGCGGTAGGGAAAAATATTACGCGACGTGTAGAGAGCGACTAACCAGTTCGCGCGCAAACAAGGAAGCTGCAGCGTGTGTTTGCTGTCTTCTTCCGATGGGCATATTGTGCCAACACAAGAAATTAACGCCAACGTAATCGCATCTGCCGCACTGATCGCGCGCGCATTACCCTCCCGAACATTCTTCTCTTTCTCTTCTCTCTGTCTCTTTCTCTCTTTCTCTCTTTCTCTCTTTTAGAAGATCAATTTTTCCACTTGCCACTTCGTGCTTCCCGGCAAATGGCAAATAGATAACGTAGCAACCTTCTTCGTCCTGCGGCGAGATTCCAGAATAATTTAAGAATCCGGAAATAACTCCGCTCTGAAAAATTCGAACGGATTTTTATCAAGATAATAGACACACCGCACAGAGTAAAATCTTTTATTTTTTATTTTCACCAATAAAGTTTTCCTCGAAATTGTTGCTTAAGTAAATGACCGATTATTTATTAGTACTTTCTACTTTTGTATTAAATATTGATCGATTGATTTGATCAAGCAAACACGTCATGCTAATTATATTTTCAATTGAAGAAGTCCGACTGAACACGAACAATAACATTATTCTTCGTCGTTTAATTGCGTTTCAGAAGTTTCGTGAAAAGCCCTTCATTTCTCAATAGAATATTGATTTTCGATTGAGAGAAAATCGGAAATTCGAAACTCGGTTAGTACCTACTTTTTGACATCTCGCTCGGGAATAAATTTAAAAAATGTGAAAAATAATTCATTTTGCGCAAGATACACATTCCTGAAATCAAAAATAATATTTTCATTGAAACGTTCCCGTGGAACTGACCTCGCGAATCGTTATCGTAAACTGTAAACCCATCTCGTAACATAAAAATATGCGCAACCTAAAATCCATCTCGATAATTTTTTCTTTTTAACATCACGTATCATCAACATAAAGAAGGAACATAACGCACAAGGACGAAGATTCGTTTTCAAACATCGTTACGAGTCTTACGAAGAAGATGTAGATACAATTCTACTTCGCGGAAATCACATTAAATTATATGGTGTGCATAAATTCTTTGAATATCTTCAATTCTCTATTACGTTCATTCTGTTTTTAAGCTCGGAGAAAAGTCGATCTAGATTTTGTTAGATGAAAAGAAGGAGCTTAACTGACTTTTTCAGCCGTTCTCTGTATGTGTGTGTGTGTGTGTGTGTGTGTTTGCGCGCGCGCGCGCGCGTGCCCGATTATCAAGCAGGGCACCATTAAACGCAGACGCAAACTTTGCCAGTTTCCGTCCACGGCGTTTAGAAAAAAGCTCCAAGTTTTTCTATCGTGAACTTTCGATCGGTTGGCGGAATAAGCGCGAGGTGCGACCTACACGAGTTAATGGTTCCAAATTCGTTTTCTTTTCTTTCGAAGGGTTTGCTTCTCGATGCGATCTCTTCAGGTGAATTGTCGTACAAATTGTCGTCATTAAATTGGTTGCATGTCGGGAAAAATCGCCGCAAAATCTCACATTCGTCGAAGTCGCGAGAGAGATGAGCGCGAAATCCGCAAGGAATTGGCGTAACGAACTTATACACATACACTTTGTGTTTTTTTATATTTTTATTTTATTTTCAATAATTCTGATATATAAATACATATAAATATTTTAAATATTATATATGGCAATACGTGCGTGTGCGATACAAAAAAAAACAGATGATACGATATCGGGCGAGAATATCTGTCGCTATATTTTCGCGAGCGTAACAATTTTCGCGTGACTCGTCATGAATATAAACGCGGCTTATGCGTTTTTCTTCTACCGCATTTAATTAATCCGGCTTGGCGCGGCATGCGACCGGCGTTAGTGAAGTGCTTTGAATTTTCCAAAACGGATTGTAGAACGGCGCGCCGCTGGAATCAGTTCAGTTCGCGACAAATAAAAGCGTCTTACTTTGTGTGCTGTTTGTTCTTATGCTACTGTATTACATATAAAATTTTCACGTCGAAAGAGTGAACTATTCTACGAAAGATCGTTATGAGAAATTCATATTTCGGCAAAATCACAATAGAAACTACTAAGTAAAAGAAAGTTTGCGAAAGAAACACACAGAACTTGAATTTATTATAATTGCACATAATTATTAATAGCTCTTTTGTGCAAAAAATTTAACGCCGTTAAAAAATGTACGAGCTCGTTACCCCAGAGAAATGGCAAGAGTCTCTTTTTAACGTTGAGACTGTCGCAGAGTCGACGATAGGAATAGTGAAAAATGGCTGCTTTAAGATTTGCGTCTCATTTCCATTTGTCCTCGATTCCACCGCATTTCACGGAGAGACAACCGCGTCTTCGCGCATTACCGGCAATCACTGCGAGAACTTGAGCAACCTATTTGCCGAATCCGATTCACCGGACACGTGAATAGCAATCGCGCGCATTTTATAGAACACCACCGGTGGATAAGAGCAGAATCCTCCACGTAGACTCTTGAAACTCAAACGCGAGTTGCCGGTTCAGTCGGGCGTTAATTATTGACACGGGCTCTGGGCACACAGAATTTCGGGCGATGACGGGCATGTCCAGTGTACGAGCTGCTCCAGAAACACGAATCTCCGCAGACGTTGGCCGCAAACATGGTCAAAGGGCAAGAGGGGTCGAAAGCGCGAGTAAAGCGATCGAAATCGCGGACGGGCGAACAGAGGACGCGCGTACAAGATAGGGACAGACTAGACTTTCGAGGCTTGGGTCGCTGCCCAATGAGGGCGCCTCAGGGTGATACCTTAAGTGCGGATAATTCATCAAAGTCTCATTTGGCTAATGCCTTGGGACCTGTATCTTGAACGGTATTATCACGCCGAGGATAGTAATTGTCGTAAAGGAGAGAGAGCGCGAGCTTCTTGCTGAATTTTAATCTTTTATATGAATAAAGCTTTACGCGCAATCATCAAATGTATTTTTTTCACAAGTTGTACAAAAATCTCGCAAAAGTTTATTGCCATTTTCGTTAAATTGAATTCTTTTTCGATATTTAAGAGTTTCTTTCTAGTTGTTTATTTCTTTATTTCTTGTTCAAAAACAATGATTTTTTTAATACGAAATTACAATGTATCATACAAAATCGTATCATGTTTCTCTTTCGCGTAATTATTTATATATTCTTTGTGAGAAGAAACATAAAACAGAGAAATAGGTATGTTTTTTCCATGGCCGAAGTTTGCGATTGCAAGATCCATCTTCGTGTTTCAGCTGCTGGCGGAGCAGAAGAAGTTCGACGACGAGATGCGGCGGCAGCTGAAATTACAGTCGGAGATACACGCCGATCATCTTCGAGAGGCACTTTCGGTCAAAGAGCAAGAGTCGCAAAGAACGCTGCAGCGCGCGCTCTGCGAGCAAGCCGACGCTGAGTCCATAAAGCATAAGACGCAGCTTGCTGCGGTGGTGGGAAGGTCACGTGCTCTTGTGGCAGCTCTTAAAGGTGAGTACCTATCGTCTCCTTATATCTTGAGCAAGAGATATTTTCTCGTAATATCCTACTTGAAGGCAAAGCTTGAACCACAAAGCCCCGAATTCCTCTCGCTTCGGGAATAATAATAATACTTTAGGATGTTCAATATCTAAGTTAACATAAAAAAAAAACGCAAAGTCTCCTCTTCAAGCCAAACGATCATCAATATTAATGAGTCGATCGCTTTGGTCTATGCGATTGTCGATTAAATTTCGAAATTCACAATCTTTGACAATTGAGATGAGCAACGTAAATAACTCGCGTAACAATCGCGATTTGTGTTACCGTGAAATTTATCTGTTTTTCCTATCTGTTTCGAATATATTTTTCATTTTGTGTAAATTAATCTCTTGTAACAAATGAACGGATTAAAAGACTTAACAAGACTTGATCGCGCCAATACTTTTACGTAACTCGCATCAACTCATACATCACGTGATAAATCTCACAGAAAATCTTCATAATCCTACCAACACGTCTTTGTCGGCCTACAATAAGTAACTGTCCAACACGTAACGTCTATTGTGCTAGTCGGCGAACAAATCATCTTTCGGGGGGGAAGATGTTCTTTGCTTTTGCTGTTTCCGCTATTGTCACGGTGTTTAATTACACGGGCGAGCAAAAAATACGTGGGCCGACGCTCTATAAAGAGACCCGCGCGCGTCCGCGCGTCGAGAAAGTGTCGGGCGACATTTTGAGATGCTTGATCTTCTCCGTTTGTTTGTTTTTTTCCCCGATCCCTTTGTCCTTCCGGCGATAATGGACCTCTCGTGTCCCGATTTGGATCGGGTCAGATCCACCGTCGCGTCTACAGTGCACATCGATGCGTGATGAGTATTGTTTGACGACTTTGGCTCCCTGTCTTTCGCTGAACCGGACACGTGTAACTTATAGCCACAAATGTTTGCGAAAGAGAAAATATCGTACGTAATTGTTCGCGAAAGAAAGTTAGTGTCTTGTTGCGCACGTTACATCAAAAACGTCTCTTATCAAAGATAATGATTGATTGTTGACAGGAATATCACACACACACATATTTGAAAGAAACGTTTAGATGCGCACATTCTAACTGCGATGTCAGATTTGTGTAAGTAGTGTCACTTGTCAGTGTTTTTGTTTTTTTGTTACATCTTTTTCTTAAAAAAGATAAGTTTTACACTGATGTATTATTACATGTGGCGCACTTTTTAACAGTTTTTTTTTAAATATTTGTTTAGTAGACAGCGAACATTTATTTATATTCGTATTTTATTGAATTTCGGATATTTACCGAGTGTGAAATTCTTTCACCGAATAAAAACCGCGAATGTTTGTTCTCTTGCACATATAATTCCATTATATCTCGCGGTAGACTTTGTAATCCACATGTGCGGGATACACAAAATTCTGAGATGTACCAGTCCGAGATATCCCGGAGCGTGTGTGTTTGTCCTTTCTGTTTTATTGGTAGCAGAGGGATCCCGGAATTTAATCCGGATTAACCCTGTTCGAGTTTAACACAGCGATGGCACTTCCAGCAACTCCCTTATTGCCGTCACCCTCTTTCTCTCTCTGTCTCTTCTCTTCTGCTCTCTCGCTTGGTCGCTCTCGGTGAGAGAGATTAATTCTCGATTAACAAATCTCGTACGCGACATGCACTCGTTGCGCGACGCGCTGGCCAGCCGGGCCCGATAACTATCTTTAATTAGTTTCCGTTCGAGTAATTTTCCGCTCGCTAAACGGATTACGAACGCGACACATAGCGATATTTGCGTCGCGGTTGCGCTCTTTGCGCGTGCACGCGTTGTCGGCATAACATTATTGAAAATCGTTGTTCGCTCGTGAACGCCTTTTTGTTCGCGTTCAATGGCTCATGATCGAAAAAACGAAAAAAGGCAAACGTGTTTATCGCGCGAACATTTACATCGATTATTGTCGCGTTTAATCTGCCGCATTTATGCATCTTTGATACATAGATATCGTTCGGGAGGAATATTACACTTCATCTCGCGCAAAGTACGTAATAATAGTTCGAAGAGCTTTCGAAGGAAACGAAATTTTGAAATTACTTTTATTCGCGAGCGTTGCGCGAATATATGTCACGTGGAAGAAATCCTACTTCGGAATTCATTGCGAGTTTCTCCGACAAATCGGTTAACTTGATCGCGAAGAGAAAGATGCGACGCGTACTTTTCGCGCAAACTGTTGAAGAGACCGCTTTCATTACGCTCGCTTTCGCGCAAAGTGTTCTACCGATAAAAACGTCTTAATTTCCCGGTGGTTTGCTGGCGTTTATATAATTATTGTTCTAATTGCGGATTGTCTCTCGAACCAGCGACACCGGATTCGGCCAACCAGAATGTTTCCAGAGACGCGCGTTCTCGCGAAAACCGTCCGCTCGTTAATTAACTTCACCCAACAAGCAGACGGAAAGTGTAGGTGGAGGTTTTCCGGGTAAGGGGAGAACGGAGAAAGAAACGTGGAATACGGTGCTCACCAGTGTATAATATCCATTATCCGGCGAGGAGTTCTGCGTTTAATTTGGCGAATTACGTCGTTTTATACCGGCGCGTTTTGCGGGACCGGCGCGGTGATTCGCACGAGGAATTCCACTGGAAGATAATAAAATGCACGTCGCGCGAACGTCAAGTGGAAGCAAAAAAAGGGATGCATGCGCGATGAGATTCCGTAACGTGTAAATCCCACGTTGTGTAAGGACGTATTAAAAATACACAGGCATTTCGTAAACAACAGACACTTGTGTAAATATATCTTTTTTTGTAAAATAAAAAAAACACGCAAACACTTTGCTCGCGGCTGCAAGTGACAGGATCGTGCTTCATGAATAGAAATCAGCAAACAAAATACGACACGAAAAGAGATAAAAGAGACGTTTAAACACACGAAAGGTGTAAAATGTTTGATTTCAACGGGATATATTCGGGATCAGGATGAAATTGTGAGAGGTTGGAGAAACGATTCTGAAACTTGTTCACGTTGTAAAAGTGGCCGACTTTCGATCTTAATTTGGATATATATATATATGTAATAGTAACTGCGCGATCGTAACCATAAATGATCGCGTAGTGACAAGCTCCGCGCCAATCGGATCTTGCGATTCTCGCGCGTATATGTTTCCAGAAATGGAAACCTTTTACGGTTTCTGTCCCGAATATAAAATGTCGATACTTTGTCAACACCGTTACGCGCGATGCAAATGAATACAAGCAATTCGTAACCTTTCTCTTTAAATTAAATAAATAAACAAGAAAATTACTCGTCGACGGGAAAATTATTAAATTTTATCTCATTTCATTATGTCGATATAAAATAATCTGATGATACAATTCTGTCAATTAATCTAAATAATGAGTACAAAAACTGTTTTATTAGATATATCTCAAGAGATTCTCGATCGCGAAGTTGTAGGAAAAAAAAACAGTAGTATCATGCAGGATGGAAGCAGTAAAACGATTGCATGCGAACTCTGGACGAGAGAGATCGCGAGGTCGCGGTTTTACAAGTCCGACAAACCGGCCAACGTGTATGCGCCACATATGCCCCAATTATAACTTCCGCCATACGTCTCTCGCGGGCGCTATTAAGGGTCAGTACACAGGCCGCCATGTCGAGCGCTCGTGCGATGTCGGTCGCGCGAGAAGAGGAGGGGAAAAAGGGCAGCTAAAAAACGCGCGGCTGCATTTTGCATTCTCGCAAGTTCGCATTTAACGTAGGCGCGTTTATACGACGCTCGATGCGACGAGCTCTCGCGCCAGAGAAGAAAGAAATAATAATTTGTTGGTCGTAATTTATACGGTAATACCGCGTGCGGCAAAACACGCGGAATTGTTTTTGCTCGCGGTGCTATTAGAACGAGGCGCGGTTCACACAGTTCTGAAATATTCTTTCAAATAACTACTACTAAAAGAGGGAAACAACGACATTTAATCTGATCGCAGAAACGAAATCGACGCGTGATTCATTAAGGAGTCTGCAATTACGGACGCGATACATCGTGCATATTCATGCACTTAACGAAATAAATTAGAACCACGCTGCACGCGACGACACCGTTTGCTCGCGTTAATGTCGGTCGAATCTTTCGGTAGGAAGAATAGTGGGGAGAGAGAAAGGGGATGCGTTATTCCGCTTGACGTCGATGTGGTTTACCGCATCCTGCTCGACAAGCTTCCATCTCCCGCGAGAGATACAGTGAGGAATGAATCATCTCATCGAATATATTCACCTCAATTACGTCATGTTGAATTCATCCGCGTTGCGAGTTCCGTCGGGTAAGTCGCGCGAAGGAAACTGCGTTTGACGGATTTTACGGAAGAATCCGGCTTTCGTGCTGAAGACGAAGCCGCGCGACTAACGCCGAATTCGCATAGAAACGAACTTGTCAACTCGTGGTATATACCTTAAATACGTTTGCGCGAACTATATTTTCACACGGAATTTACGATTCGCGCGATAATGTCGTCTTCGCTTTTTCGCGATATCTTTGGCATAAAAGTTGAGCCGATGTCGCAGGAATTAAAATGCGATTCTAAAGAGAAACATTATCGCAATATGTATTTTTTCTCTTCAATTGAATATAATAAATTATCTCCACGATAAGACAGATAAATAGATAGATAGATAAAGAAAGAGAGAGAGAGAGAGAGAGAGAGAGAGAGAGAGAGAGAGAAGGGGGAAGAGAGGGAGAAAAAGAAAGAAGCGCCGTGATCTCGTCTGATCAATTGATTCGATTAAAGGCTATTGGCTAACGTCGCTCGTTACCCACGGGAGCTAAAATTTAAATCGGGAACGATAAATCTCTTAATCGCCTACGGGGTATCGTTTGACAGAATTTATGACGTGTGTTTTTATCGCCGAACCGCTCGCCGATGTTCGCGTAAAGGAACTGACTTTGCACATAATTTTTCCACCGCTTGTAAACTCGAAGTACTAGATATGAATTGTATTATAGCGGGGCATAGAAGATCACT